GGTGCGATCGTGAAGCTTCATTGAAACCAGGCAACAGGCATCAGAAGACTCACAAAAACAGCAAACAAACAAACAAAAAAAATGCATTGGTGAGAATGGAGGGGGGTTGGAGTGGAGACCCAAAGCCCATCCATCCACAGAGGAGGGGATGAGTCAGTCAGGGTGCAGTAGAGCACTAATGGGTCATGCAATATACCTCTGATCCCTTGAGGCCTCCTTACCCCACCCCCCCACCCCCCAGGCTCCCCCACCCCCCACTACCACAACCTTGGTGCCTCTTCCCAACCTAGAGTAGACGGGAGCATGTACATAGGCACAGGCAAGAGATAAAACTCACAACACATGAACCCAGGAACAGGGATGGGACTAGAGATACCAAAAGGGTAGGGGAAGGGGGCGAGAGGTGGGGAGGGAGGGGGGCACCGATCACAGTAAATGGCACATAACCACACACCCCCATCCAGGGGCAAGAACAACATAAACCAGAAAAGAAGGGAGACTGGGGAAGGTAGTGAGATTTGAAAATAATTAACAATCTACAATCTATCAAGGGGTCACAAGGGCTGGGAGGTGGGGAGAGGAGGGAGGGAAAAAAGAGGAGCTGATCCCAGGGGCTCACTGGAAAGTAAATGTCTAGAAAAGAATGATGGAATATATGTACTAATATGTTGGATAAATTGATGTATGGATTGTAACAAGAGTTGTGAGAGCTTCCAATAAAATGATTTTAAAAAATTAGCCTGCTATATTTGGTCATTTAATTAATGCAGGCCTTCTGTAATGGCTGAAACTTCTCTTTGGTGAGGAAAGTGATGTTAGCTTGCATGGATAGCTTAGGCCTTACATGATTTCTACATCAACATGTAGAAATTTATCTTTCTCCAGACTTGTTACGAAGTTAGATGTCTGCTCTTGAAACTAGGGACATTTACTTTATCAACTTCCACTTCACAGACGATACCAAAACCACACTCACTGTCCTTGAGTCCGTGCTGATTCTTAGTGACCCTATAGCTCAGGGTAGAACTGCCCCGGCGGGTTTCAGAAGTTATAACTGTTTACAGCCATCAAGAAAGCCTCATCTTTTCCCCAAGGAGCCACTGGTGGTTTCAAACTGCTGACCTTGCAGTTAGTGGCCCAACATGTAACCTGGACTCCTGTTCACAGACAATCTGGCTCCAAATTATGTAAATAAACAACAGCCACATGTTTGCTTGTTCTGGGCTATAGTCCCATGATGAATTAGCCAGGTTTCCCTGAAATAAAGCTTGGCAGGGCAAACTTGCTGACCAGAAAGTACAAGGAAATGCTTAATTTGAGAACGTTAACCTTGGCAGTGCATTCTTCTGGATGGTGCTTGCAAGAATGAGGAGCCCTGCTGGCACTATATGGTAAACATTGAACTGCTAACTGCAAAGTCGGCAGTTCAAATGCACCCACCTCTCTGAGGGAGAAAGAAGAGGCTATCTGTTCCTGGAAAGATATACAGCCTCTTAAAAACCCTATGTAGCCCCCTGGCACCAATGCCCCTGCTCAGTGCAAACGGAGCTCAATCCATTGGGAGATCGAACTGTGCGGGGCAACGACGAGCGGGATGTGGTGCGAGGCAGAACGGCACTCGCATCGACCGCGGCTGTCAATGGTTTCTCGAGCTCTGGGTCAGGGAAGAGTCACGGATGGTATCGGTGTAACCGCCTTATACCCCAGTGGGAGGATTGACGATGGTTGGGGTTTTGTTCTGCTTTTTGTTTGTTTGTTTCTAGACTTAGTTTGCTGGTTTGTTGCTGTAGTTGTTGCTGGTCATGTGGGGTTATGTTTTGTCATAATATGAACACCAAAGTAAACCAGAGTCCTGCGTGGCCTGTGCACAAGCAGATGGATTCTGGGCTCCCACTTAACCCCAGCCCCAATGCAAGAGCAGACAGTTCCGATAACATGGTCCTGCTCGACACTGGCCTTCATGAAAGGACACTGAAGATGAGGATGCTATAGTAAATTGTGGTGGTAAAAGCAGGTGGTACCTGGCCATCAACTGGAATAGTGTCTGAGGTCATAAAGGCTTGTACTCAAACAAGCAGCCATCTAAGTGAAGCATCAACTTAAGTCCATGTGGAAGAAACACACCAGCCTGTGTTATCCAAAGACGACAATAACAAAATCCAGATATGACGAAGGGAAAAGTATCAGGGTTTAAATTGTGAACCCCCAATTTGTAGATGGCTGTGGGGGATAGTGGGAGCCTGAAGTCCATCTGCAGAGTATCCAGTTAGATCAAGCCTCTGGCGGATCCCTTCTAGCCACAGGCAAGGGCCTCAAACAGCTTTACTCTCAGACAGAGATGATGTAAACTTGATGAAGGTGTATCAAACGTGGTATAATTTGATACTTGGTCAGCTGACCTCCATCTGGACCCAACCTGAATTTGATCTAGCGCAAGTATTTCTTGCTTGTTCCAGGACAAACATTTCTTCCCTGGCTTTTAAAATACTGATGGTGGTCTTTTCTTTCTTACTCTTTATTTGTATTTTAAATTTTATATTATTATTTTATTCTTGCCATTTTATCTTAGTTTTGGTTTTTTATTGTTACTGCTGGGTTTGTGAAGCGCAAAAGGAACAGATGCATAGAGATAAGAAGTGATGCAGTGGTCTATCGGGGATGTTGGGGGTGGGGGGAGATATGGGGATGTTGGCAGTGGGGCAAGATAAGGAGGGTGAGGGATTTAGGAAGCAAACAAGGAATCTGGGAGCGGGGAGCAAGCACTGCAAGGAATTGTGATTAAGTGTATACAAAGCACTTTAAAAGCATTTTAACCATGGAGGTGTATGATTTGCGAATACTATAGCAAGTAAACCAGTAAAAGAAAAAAAAAAAGAATAGTGATATAATTAGAAAAAGGTATACGCATTGTTTCATGGGATTCTAATTTGCTATGTAAGCTCTCACTAAAACACAATAAAAATATTAAAAAAAGAAAACCCTGTGTAGGGTTGCTCTGAGTCAGACTTGCTCAATCACGGTAGATTTTCGTTGTTTGATGGGATGTTACGCTGAGGTACCCGACAGCACCCAGCTGCACCCCGACAGCCAGCCTTTCAGCCCTAACAGCCGCCCTGTGGGGGAAACACGTGGCAGTCTGCGCATGGAAACGCTGTGCGGCGGTCTTCACGCCCCTGCCGGGTCTCCCATCGTGCGCGCGCGTTAGAATGATTAAAAGTCAGTGGGGTGTGTAAAAAAAAAAGTCGGTGGGGTGTGTTCTTGGGTTGGAAGTTATGACACAGTGGCATCAAATTGGGCCATGAGCACAGTCCCCTGCCACACACATCACAATTCCCAACAACTTTTTTTTTTAACCATGTGACATTTAAAAAGCTTTAGTGACATAGACTTTTTTTGGATCCCAAGGGTAAACATCTGTGAGCATCTTTAGCAAAGATGTTTGGGCTTCCTTTTCCACAGCTTCACCTAAGGAGGCTTCCTCTAGGGCAGCGGTTCTCAACCTATGGGTCGCGACCCCTTTGGAGGTTGAACAACCCTTCACAGGGGTCATCCGATGGATAACAGTAGCACAATGACCGTGATGAAGTAGCAATGAAAATAATGTTATGGTTGGGGGTCACCACCACATGAGGAGTTGTATGAAAGGGTCGCGGCGTGAGGAAGGTGGAGAACCACTGCTCCAGGGGCTTTCCGACCTCAGGAGTGCAGAGCTTTGGGGCATCACTGCTCCACTTGGCAAAGGCAGGATGGTCAGTGTCCTGTCCAAGGTTTAGCAGCACCCTTCCCCTCTGCCCAGGAGGGGTCCACAGCACCCCACCAGGTGTGAGGATCAAAAAGAGAATGCCCCTGGGCATTGACACATGTCCCCCAGAGCACAGAACCGCCCCCACAGGAGACGTGTCATCCGAGCCTTTTCAAGCTAGTCTTGTCTCTTCTGCAACTTAGAACATTCCTCTGCTGTCAAAAGCAGAAACACCTCTTCAGCTTCTCAAGCCTGGACAGAGTCAAGCAACGCAGCCTGCAGATAATCCGCTGAAGTCTTCTAACCCATGTTTTTCACATAAAGCCCTATGTTTACAACATGATCCAAAGAGGTTAATACCTACGCCTTCATTCATGCTACACAGAGGTGGAGGGCAAAGGGAATGTACAACTGACCATTCCAAATGCTCCGTTCCTAAAATTGCATGGTATGCAGCCGGTCTGGAGCCTGTGTGTTGAGTCATGAAGTCAGGGATATCTCGGATATGGCACAATCTCTGCTCTCGATTCCAAAGTTAATCAGACCATGATGCAGTTCAAAGGGGCCAAGGGGATAAAAGAAGTGACTTATCCTACAAGCGGCAGCTTGTAAAGCTGTACTGATAAAATGGGGCCTTCTGACAACTGTTTCATTAAAACTTAAACAAAACACTGTATTGTTTGTTCTGCAAAAACCTCCAGTAGAAGGCCACCAAAGAAGAGAATGTTGTCTTCAAAAAAGAGCTTTGACCCTTTCCGTGATGTTTGATTGCATTTTTAAATAATGAAACAAAAATTGTGTTTTACAAAAACGGTAAGGTGTCTGTAATATCGGAGAGTTAGAGTCAAAACATTTTAAGGAACTAACTTAAGAGTTGCCAACTTTCTTTCATTACCAAGGAAGAATGTTAAACTTTCTATCTTCACCATCTTCCCATTTGGTTGTTTGTCTTTTTCTTTAACCATTAACACAACTACATTTAGCTTTCTATGAAACTAGAAAACCTTTGGTGACAAAGGCAACATTTGTATTTATTTATTTTTTTTAAAGGCAACATTTTAAAAGGTACTTTTGATGTTTTTAATATCACAAACGCTAAATCCTGCTATCCTGACTTTCAACTATAACACCATCTCACAACACGGAGCCTAATCTCTGAATGAGGAAAGAGAAGGGCTCACAGTTCAGAGAAACACGGGAAAAACGACCCCCTAAGAACGGACCCCCAGGGCAACAAGGCTCTGTGTCCTTCACTTACCGTTGTTATCATGGTCTCCTCAGTCACCACCTTGAGGGTGTCGACCACTGAGATGTAGCCAAGCCGCCGGGCAATGGCCAGGGCAGTGTTTCCATTCTGGCGGGGGGGAACACAGGGACAGGGAATGAGCGCATCTCCTTCCACCTGTTTGAATGCCTAGACAGTCCCACATGTTTCCTCTGTACAACACCGAAGGGGGTGTCTCCTCAGCCCTTCTCATTGTCATGCACAAAGACAAGCCATGCACAAAACCCGCCTAACCTGTTTCTCTATCCACCCAGCAACGTCTGGGCCCCTACATATGGACTCCGGGAGCCTTTATAAATGTCCCGAGTGGGCAATCAATGGAACACACACATGGGTTGGCTTCGCTGTGTACTTCCTACTAGCTGCCAAGGCAAGCAGTGCTTTCTTAAGGCGGGGCACGCTGTCACGGCCCTCCCTCTGGCAGCTCACAACAGTACGGCCAGTGTTCTTTTTGCTTCACTCTACGACAGGCGTTGGCCATGACCATGACAGGGAGCGCAAGTACAAAAAAGCAAGAGAAGGGCGCAGTGGAAAATGAGCACAAAGCTGGGGATCCGCTCCTCCCTCCCCGTTTGACCTGGCCCTTGCTCTTACCACAGTGAGTTCGTTGGGGGAGGCACCGTTCTGAAGTAACACGTTGATTATATGTGTATGTCCCTGCTGAGCAGCCTGATGCAGCGGCGTGTACCCGTTCTGCAAAAGAAGATGGCAGACGTGACTCTGACTTCCTTTGACTCCAGATCAGCAATTTTGTTAAAAACAATGGGGACAGGCATTTATTTACCTTGGTTTTGGCATTAACCTTCGCAGAGTGCTGGAGCAGGAAATTAACGATCTTGATGTTTCCATAGTGGCAGCCCACGTGTAATGGTGTATATCCCATCTGCAAGGACACGTGGACGTGGATATATTTAGAAGACCCATCATGCGTGCACACTTGTATTGCCATTTATGCTTTTCCTTGAGCTACACAACATAACCCAGAAACTAAACAACACAAAAAACCCTCGGATATGCTTGGAGTTAATCTCAGAAATCAGTAGTAGTACCATTTCACAGATAAAGAATTGGTTAACTGCCCAAAGTGCTCTGTCTTACACGAGTTCATTTTATTCTCGTACCTTTTTGAGAAGGGAAGATGGCACAACTGGCAGCTTGAACAGACTAAGCGGATTCTTTTTGTTTTTGTTTTTAGTTAAGTGGCTTCTTGTAGGGGGTCAGAAGCATGTTCTCTGGTCAGACTGAAGGCTACGGGTTATTGAACTTCTACCCTCTAAAAGCCTGCAATCCAGGCCAAAAGAGCGACTGACAGGTAAGAAGAAAGAGAGCACACGATCATCGGAACACATGAGGAGGAAGAGACAACCAAAATACCAAAGAGACAGCCACCAGCATAACTTGGTCTGTCTGAGAAGCTTGGGCTTGACTTAACTCTTTCATCAATGGCTCTGCCTCTTAGAGAAGAGCCCCGGTGGTGCCGTGGTTAAGCACTTGGCCGCCCCCTGGAAGGCCTCATGCAGACCCATCAACTGCTCCGTGGACGAAAGAGGGATGATCTGCTTCCAGAAAGATTACAGCCTTGGGAAGCCTACCGGGCAGTTCTACTCTGTCCTCCATGGTAGCCATGGGTTAGAATCAATTGGAAGGTACACGTTGGTTTGGGATCTGCCTAGTTACAGTCCTATTTGAAAATCATTGATTTAAATCGTAGGCTCCCAAACTTATTTAGTCTACTTACCACTTTTTAGCGGGAAAAAAATCACATAGGACTTGCCTCACAATTAAAAACACTTGTATGAGAGTCCATAATCCAGGATAAATTGTAGGTATTTGCTTTAGCACCCCACACCCCTTGGATCATTCCACTGCCCCCCAGAGGGTGGTATCACCCGCTTTGGGAAACACTGATATAGATGAAGCAATGGCTTGTTTCTCAAATTAGTATCCGCTGACTCCTGGGGGCTGTAAATTGTCTAAGAAAACAATACAGGCCTATGGGTCATACACACTCGTGTACAAGCTGAGGGTTCTCAGCCCATTTTTCTTGCAGTGATATTCCGGTCGGCTTACATTTGAGTATATGTTTTTCCCATTAAGATGGAAAGGACAATCCAGATCCTTTTCTACAGGGCATGTGTGACAGACAACACCACTTGCTTTCTGGGTCAATGTTTAATCTCGTTTATAACGACAGTGGCAGCACCAGGTCCCTGAAAGATAGTGCACTGACTATTGCAGTGTTTCTCTGAGTAGCTTGAGAGTGAGTTGCTTTGCCCCACCCCAACCCCCCACATTTTCGGGAGTCTGCAACTCGTGTGTGATGGCACTAAGGTGTGTCTTTATTGTCGCCTCACAAATGGCTATGCTTGAGTTTGATGACCCAGGCCATAACTGGTTGTGGGAGGTAAAAACACCTCACTGGGGATGCAGCTCCCTAGAAAGTTGGCGCTGCTCAAATTCTGCTCCGCGGCCCCAACCCACCAAGGCATGCCTGTGTGCAGACTCCCACTGATGCTCTCACAATAAGGACAAGGGTCAGTCAAAAACACTGTCACATAGTCACAGGGATCCTAAGTCAAGAAAAACGTTAAAATGTGAAGCTTGTTGTCTCGTGGCATATCCCCTGTCTAGGCCTATACACTCCAGGAGGTGGGACTTCTGTCTCTTTATCTCTTCTCTGAAGAATTTTGCACTCTTTAATTTACACCATGCCAACATGGCCTGTTTGCCATCCTCCAGGGCTGCAAATTGTTCTTTGAGTGTGGGAACCAAAAATTTTGAAAGATCATCTGTGATGGGTGGATGGGGAAAGTTTTTCCAAAATAATCCTTATAGACAGCCTCTGCTACCCTTGAAGAATGAGTCACGAAGGAAAGGAATTCCTTGGTGTAACTTCCTGGCCATTTGCTCACAATCTTCTTAAGAAATCCTTCCCCAAAGCCCCTGTGATCATTCTGTGTCCTTCCAGAAAATTTATCACGATTACAACCCCCTTTGAGATAGAAAAAGGCAACCAAACAAAGGCAGTCATAATATAACCTTCTGACTTGACCTTGAATTTAACTGGTCCAGCAGATTCCCTAGGAAACCACTGTTGTGACTGCATCTTTCCTTTTAATTGTTGAGAAAACTAGTCTCCAGCCATCTACTGATCATAGAGGCATTTTAAAACATGTTTTGTTTGGAATAAACCTGTGAATGGCTGAATAAACTAGAACCCGAGTAGCAATACCTTTTAATTTACCCTTACATGTGTGTATGTGTGGGTGTTACAATTTCTATGTGCTAAGGCTATAATTCTAAGTCAAATCTTTCTATTGCCATTTGTTAAATTAAATATAATGTTATAATACCCAAGTGAAAGTTCAAGTTTCACGGAAATTATAAGATGATTTTATGAACAGTAAAATACTTTTGTATTTTAGTACCAAAATAGTATGCTTAGTATAACTCGTTGAGATTAGAAAGTATATCTCTTTAAAAAACAAAACAGAATGTTTTCCTGTAGAAACTAAACTCTATTTTCATTTTTTGAAGGAAGTAAAGTTGAAATTTTCTGCACTCCTAGAAAAAGTTGAAAATTTTCCTTTCCATGAATCTTTGCTTTATTCTTCATTTCCAAAATGAGCATAGAAACAAACTGAGAGGGAAAACTTTGAATTATCAAAAGACAACAAAAATTTTTTACGGACATTTTGGTGAAGAGACAAATAAGCCAGTTGTCATCTCTCTTCCTAGCCCATTTTGCGGTTGCTTGTATCGTGTGCCTTTAGTTTACAAATCCTGCCAGTGTGCAATGCGTATCTCATTGTCTCTAGAGCACAAAGACCCTGGTAAGATTTTGGCAAATAAGAGGAGCTCTGTAATGCATGTTAAGGAGCCCTGTTATGTAAGTGTTGAACTGCCAATCACGAGGCTTGTGGTTGAAACCTACCAGCTACTTCAAGGGAGAAAGATGAGCTTGTTTGTCCCCGTCCAGATTTAGTCTCAGAAACCCTAAATATGGTGGCTGTGTATCAGAATCAACTCGATGGAAGTGGATTAGATTTTTGCTTTTCTATAAAGACTGCTAGATGAAAGAATATCAAATAATCTCTCAAAATTATTCATAGTAAAACTATCTATATTTCAAGAAATATACTTGATCCATTCTCTAATCAGTATCCCTGAGAATCAATGTCTCCATGTGTCTTCGGGTGGTCTAAACGACATGTTTCAGGTCATCGTCCTTTAAAAATCAAGACAAGTTGTTTCACCTGAGCGGAACAACACGGGCTATTAACCCAGTGGCCAGCAGCACCGTTTACAATGTTACCTGATTTGGTAACTTTCAATGCAAAGGGATGAGAAGACATGCAGTGAGGTCAAGCGAGTGGGAACCCTTCAGATGTTACTGTCAAGACTTTCTGGTCTACGCTCACGAGACAAACAGCCTAGGATACATTTTTTTTTTTTTAATTTAAAGTGATGAGTAGAATGGTGTCCTCGATCCCACCTGAAAGTTCCTTCAGGGTATCTGCTTTCACTAGTAAAAATCTAAAAGTTTACAAGATATTTAGCCTCTTTATTCACAAAGCCAAGTAGTCAGTTCAACTAGCCGTTGCTCTGGACTTCTAATCTACCCTGATACGGGCCAACTACAGCCTTAATCCTTTGGGTGGCTTTGAATTTAGCTGAGAACAAAAAAGGCAGGGGAAATAATCTGTAAGAGACACAGAGATGCTTTCTGATGTGAGAGATTCTGTAAGGAAGAAGGAGAGGTATAGGCTCCAAACACATTACAAGAAGGACAAAATGATTTCTGCTGTGTCCTGGGTTAGGAGGAAATCCTGGTTTGGATCCGAGAGTCTTAAACCGAGTGTCAAATGTGCACAACAGGCACAGAAAAGTCAAAGTACCCTTCCTACGCTTTTCTCTGTCTGACTCAGTTGAGAATCCTCGCCATAGTTCCTGACTGACTTTTAGGGTATTCCTTGGAGATATTAGGGCAGAAAAATAGTGAGAATTTTGACCTAGTTCTTGGCTTCTAAAATTTTATATATATAAAAGGAGACGTGACATGAAGAAGTGTTTATGGTGTATGTAGGGATGTGTGTGTGTGTAAATAAAATAATGTAGACCTAATATATTTATCATGAAGTTGCAAACTTCCAAAGTAGGGAATTCTTTACTGCTGAAAGTATTCAAGCAAAATAAAGAAAGAAAGTTCAATCTGATGGGGAAGTCTGTAATACATTTTTAACCTGGTGATGTTTCTATACTATTAGGATCTTCAATATCTGCTTGCACACCTCAGACTTACCTCTATTATACATCAAATCTTTTTATTAAAATGTAACATTGAGTAAGCAATCATTGTGTCAACATGACAAACAGGAAGGACAGATTGTTTTTGAAACAGGTAAAGCAAGTTTAATATGAAGAGGAACCAGATTAAGCACTCAAAAAAATATTCAGAGAATGAAATGAATTACAATAATGATATAAAACATGTGTTTTGATTATCGGAGTTTGAAATCCTTAGATATGATCTGAGTTTCATCAGTAATTTAAAAAATCGATTTGAATTTTTCCCAGAGAGCTATGATGGCATGGAAAAAAGTGAGATAGATAGATTTGAGAGATAATTTTGCAGGAAAGTAATAATTGAAGGTCTTTCAGTTTACCCTTTCTTTTAATTTATGCCCGAAGAAAGTTGATGTCACAGATTACTGACAACTTTTTAAAGTCAGACATAAAAACAAGTAAAGTGACATGCGCTCTTCCTCTGCCTATGAAATGCAAATCTACTATAACAAGGAATCAACACTATTCTGGAACCATATTGATATGTAGTTAGGATAAGGTACCAGGCTCCAAAGACAACAGCACCTGTGGGACTACAATCAGGGGCTTTGATGTCCTTGGTACAAGCAAAGGTTGAAGATATTATGAATAAAGGACTTGATGAAGGTCCCTTGCTCACCTATACAACTATAGTTGCTTCTATACAGCAGCTACCAAATGACTATAAAGACCGGTTCTTTTTGTATGAGGGAAGAGGGGTTACCTTTGTCTGCGCATCCACCTGTGCTCCTTGGTTGACGAGGACTTCGGCCACATTCACTCTGTCTTCTTGAGCAGCCAAATGGAGTGGCGTCAGGCCATTCTGCAAAAGAGTCAAGTCATGGTGATGTGATGGGGGCGAATGCATTACACACAGCCGTGTCTGAGGGAGCACCTGGGAATTCTAGAATATACCCAAGTCAATTTCTACACTGATAATCATCTCTAGGATGTGTTCAGATGCTATATCATACTGGCATTGTGGTAACAGTGCTGTCATTTGGCTTCAGGAACAACTTCTTCAAACACACTCAGAATGGGAGGGGTTGGCACAGTGAGCCCCTATAAATTCACAGTAAATTCAGCTGTGAAAAAGGTTTATGACATTTCCCCCCATCTGCTATAATCATCCCACTTTCCTTGTTTATTCTTTTCTTTGTGAGAACATTTTAATGCAAACCTCAGTTGGAAAAACACGCATTATGCCTTTTCCCTACGTTGTTCAACGTTCATCTTCAAAAAGACATTTGTAGACAAAAATTTGCAGGATTTTTAACCACACTAGTAATTGTACTTGCTCGAGGAGAGATAATGAAAATATAAATGATTTACAGTGACTACTGACATGACAATACGTTCTCATTCAAACATGAATATCCAAAGCCTGACTTGCATTTTCTGCATGTTGCTTCTGGCTCAGAAAGATCATCCGTGCAACATATTGTAACTCTTGTATCACGAGACTTCCAGGCCATTGGCTCCCATTCAGCCTGAATGAGAGACAGTATTTTAAACTGACCCTACCCGAGAAGATGTAGGCCGCAGGGTTACTCGAATGGCCAACGGGGGAAAAACCACTAAGATTAGAACTCTGGTTTAAAAAGTCACTATAATTGTGAATATTTTTTCCCATCAGTAATATTTAAGAGAAACTGACTTGGAGAGAAGTGCTTGCAGATTTCAGGAGTTCAGGGCTTGAATCCTGGTGCTTCTCTCCCCCTCTAGGAGAACATTGGCCTGCCTATTTGGCTGAGGAAAGGAATCAATCAAAACAGCATCAGGAAGGCACCGAGCCCTCTCCATGCGGAACATCGTTTATTTGGGGGCTGCTGCTCAGCCAAACAAATGGTAGGGCTCAGGAAGAGTCACAAGCCGTGAGACTTCTGGATTTCTGGGCGATCTTACGGGAAACTCACTCCAACTGACTAAAGAGGAAGTGCTGAAGACTGATGGGTTCAAATTAAAGTCAAGAAAATCAACATAAATAAACACACTAGGGCCCAAACTGGCCTCACCCACACACTGGTATCATCATGGATGTGATACGTTAGAGGAAAGAAACTGTTCGGTCATAACATCTTATAAAAGAATTGCGGTCACCTATCCTGAGTTTGAGAAGTTTTAAAACTCTGCAGATGGCTGTTTGACTCGGTCTCACCAACGTTCGGGAACAGTATTTTAAGTATATGTCATCATTTTGCCTGTCCCTCTCCTGAACTCCTGTCTATGCTCACGCTGTGCCCACGGTTACCGGTCCTCCGTCTTTGCGGGGAGGCCCGTGTAGCTTTCCTCTCTTCTCTGGATGCAGGCCTCCCTCCTCGTTCCAAGCATGTGCACACCTGCACCAGTGGTCCTCCCCCTTCCTCAGGCCGTGACCCTTACATACAGGTCCTCATGTGGTGGTGACCCCCCCAACCCCCAACCATAGCATCATGCTGCTACTTCATCACTGTGATTTTGCTACTGTTAGGAATCGTAATGTAACTAACTGATGTGCAGAATGTATTTTCATTGTTACAAATTGAACGTAACGAAGCATACTTAAAGCATCGTGATTAATCCCAAAACAAAAGGGAATTATATATTGTGAAATATTTACGTGTTTTCTGATGGTCTTGGGCGACCCCTGTGAAAGGGTCACTTGGCACCCAAAGGGGTCGAGACCCACAGGTTGAGAACCGTTTTTCTACACACTCAACCTTGATCAGAAGCATTAACGATCCTCCCTCTGAAATCTGTTTTCTTCCTTGCTTTCCCAAGTCAAGTGAGGCCTTTGAGGCAATATTAAATATTGTGAACTCAAGAGAAAACATACTCTACTCGATGCTCCCATTTGAGAAAGCAAGCTCCTCCATTTCATTCTCACAGGTTGAATTTTGCAGCAAACTAGTAAAAAGCTGGTTTGCACATTTTGAAAAATCAAAATCTCAAATTTAGTTGATACTGATTACTTCAAATTGCTTGACAAGTCATATTAATCATGACACAGATTCTTTTGAACATTTATAGGATGAAATGAGAATACCTCTATTAGGAATAAAATAAATAAGTGTATCAGGAAAAATGTGCTTGCTTTGTAATGATCAAAAATAAATTTCACGACAGTAAAACTGAAAATGAGTATTCCTGATATCCCATGTATACCTTTTGAATTTGTTAAATTACACGGCTTTACACTCCATTTATATGACCCTTCCAGCCATAATCCTTATGTGATATACACCAGATTTCATATGCCTGTGGCCGCCACCCATTTTGGAGGGGATTATCTGCTGATGAACAGGAATAGGAGGAGACTAAGCTCTGGCTTTAGAAGATGAGATGAAGTAGACCAGTCTCTGTTTAATGGTTATCTTAGCGACTGTTACTCGTAGAAGGGGTAACGAATGATAAGCACAGCGGTAAGGAGAAACGCTGCCTTTGAGGCGGGGCCCAGGGAAAAAGCCTGCCTGATTAAGATTCTCATTCCCTGCTGTCGAGACAATGCCTAATCATAGTGATCCCCCTGTGGGTTTCCAAGACTGAAATTGTTTACAGGAGGAGAAAACCCAGTCTTTCTTCCAAGGAGCTGCTGGTGGTTTTGAACTGCTGACCATGTAGATAGCAGTCCAACACATAACCACTACACCACTATGGGATTAAGATTAGTTGGAAGTTAATGCCTATTAAAAACATCCTGCCAGCGGCCCCAGGTCATAAGTCCATAAATAGACATATATACAGTCCAGGGGTGGAAAACAGATTATTATATTTGGGTGAAGAGTTCTATGTTAATTTGATTGCACTATTGATAGGTCTGGTAAGAAGGTGGGGAAACAATGATAGGGTTCTCTCGGGAGTAATTGTGAACAGGATTCCCAGCAATGCCATTCTGCTGCAGATAAAATGAGCCCTCTGAGAAGCAAGGGCTGTGTTCTCCTTATCTGCAAAGGCCAGGAGGGTAGTGTTTTATGGACCCAGCTTCTGCCTGACCTTTAGATTTTGAACTGATCAGCACGCGCCATCAGGTGAGACGTGTTCTCAAAGTCTCAATAAGTTTCTGTGGGCCTCTGCAGTGATATGCAGAATCCAGTAAGGTGAGGGGATATTCCTGAGGGAGGAGTGGGGTGGGGCAGGGGAAGCAGAGAAGACAAGCTAGCATCTTGGAGGAGTTGGGCATCGACTTGGTCAATCTCCCACTCCTTGGGACAAGTTTGGTGTTAAGTCTTCCAAAAGAAATTATTACCACGGACACCTTGGCAATTTAGGTAACAGCATAGTGACTATTTTCAAGATTGTATAAAGTCTGAAATTAAGATGACTTTTTTTTTTTTTACTATTTAGAAAGAAGTTTCTAAACACGACCTCAGTGATTTGTCATGACATTGCTACGAAGTGGGTATTTTAAATTTTCATTTGCTACCGGAGGAAACGGACGCTCAGAGAGGCCACCTAACTTGCCAAAAACTGTTCCTGGGAAAATTCCATTATCTTTCAGTGCCTTTGGCAGATGGATTGCGAGGCCACTCGTTCACGAGGAACCCCGGTGGTGGCGCGGTTCTGCGCTGGGTGGCAAACCACAGGATCAGCAGTCCGTTACCGTCTGCTCGCTGCTCCTGGAGAGAGAGAGCCTGCACACCCACAGGACGGTTCGACCCTGTCCAACAGGACCGCGAGGAGTCAGAATTGACTCGATGGCAGTGATTTTTTTGAGTCTGAACTTCCTTAGCATATTTACCACCATATGTGGTTGAACTTCCACTTTGTCTGCCAACACTTTGGCCATTTCTTCAATCATAATGGCTACCAAAGATAAGGCGGGAATGGCTGTCTGAAGAATTTAGTAAACAGTCTTAATTGCCAATTTATATATATGGACTAGATCTGTGTTCAATAAAATAACTCCTCTAAGTTTTCTTTTATTAAAATGAACTCCCTGAAGGGAGCATCATTTCCAATTTCTCTTTGTAACCTGGGGTTTAGAACTGAGACAGGCCAGGAGGAGGAACACACGGCCTGGGGAAGAGTGAGTCAACATTATAAAAAAAGACTATAACTTTCAACTTTTATTTGTTATGTTCTGGTAAAATAACACTGTTGCACTTTTAATTAACATTATCACAAAGCATTTGTGTCCCTCATTTTACCTCGTGGGCTTTGTGTTACTCAACTGCATGACTTTGCAAATATTTGCTTACTATGTCTTGTTGAGCAGATTGCTTTTAAGATAAGTAAGACTTTGAACCTCTTTGTGCAAACTAGAATAAACAGAGAAGCTTTGCTACAGGTAAATCTATAGAGACTGTAATTGGATGTATACCTTCTTGGTCATGGAAGGGGGGTTGGGAGGAATGGGGAGATAATAATGAATACAAGAAGAAGAAAATGTCCTAAAAATGAGGATGGTGATGATTGCGCAATTCTTTTGAATATGCTTAAGCGATTGAACTGTATGATATATGTCACTAAACTATCATTGCTATAAAATCATACAAATTGTTATTAAACAAAAAGATCCAAATGTGAAGCTATTGCTTCTCAGTAGACCCTCCGGCCATAACCATTTCTGGAGGTGGTGTTCCATCTCTCTAGCCTTCCCCAAAGCCTCTTTGATTTCGGTCACGTTAAACATGGCAGTTTGGCATCCTCAAGGGACGCAAAACATGTTGCTCTGGAACAGTTCCGCTGGGAGTCTGGAAGGGGAAGATCCGGACCAAAGGGTGGGTGGGGTAAGGTTTCCCATCATTCTTGTAAGTCAGGCCCTCAGAGAATGAGCAGGTGTATTGTGATGGAAAAACAATATCTATTTCCTGGCATTTCCCCCTAATAAGCCCTGTGATCATATTGTGTCTTTCAAAAAAATTACAAAGTTTTTTTTTGGTAAAATTTTATTGCTCGAAATGTTCAGTTGGTAAGATCACCTCTTTGGCATCCTGCAGAACAGTTGCCACAACCTCTGGGCTGACATTTCTACTTCGAATTGAACTGGACCTGCAGATCCCCTTAGAAGCCACTACTTCGAATGCAGGCCGGGCCCAAGACTGCGACAACTGTATTTCTGAGCGAACTGATGTCTGTCTAGCCTCCCACTGGTTGCCCAGACATGCCTGCGCCAGTTGTGCTTGGAAAAAACCTATTCATGAAGGAACCCGAAAATCAACACATTTCAACCTACCCTCTTTCTATCCTGCAAACTATGTCCAAGCCCACTGCTGTTGAGTTGATTCCTCCCTACATTTTTGGTGACTCTTCACATCCTGCCTGCAGGGTGAGGGATTGTTGCTGTGATGTGTGTGCTTAGTAGAGAAAAGAAGAAGCTACCTTATTGCTCAAGTTCACGTTGGCGTTTCTGCTGAGGAGCAGTGATACCATGTCCACGTGTCCTTCCTGAGCTGCGAGATGGACAGAGGCGATTCCTTGCCGGGTAACTGCGTTGGCATCAGCACCATACTCCAGCAGGGTCGTCGCAATGTCCATTTGGTTCTTTTTGGCAGCGATGTGCAGTGGCGTGTAACCATTCTGTCAACACAGATCACTTGATCACATGCCCGGCAAGACGAGGAAAATGTGTACGTACATTTTCAAGGACTATGTTCTTTTTTCGGGTGAATGCCTTTGCCTCAAATATCATATGGTTAAGTAACTATCACTCAACATAGACATTTCCAAAGGAAATTTTACAGGGAACTGTGTTAGTAGGTGCTCAATAATTATTTGCTTTATTTAAAGTAGAGATGGGAAAAATTCCTACTGAGAATAAAATATATGGTATCAATTGGGGCATGATCATCATCCCAGCTTTAAAAGCATTGTAGTCTATGGTCCCTGGGTTTATGGTTGTTTTTCTAACCTCCCGGTGGGTGGTACAAACCATCCCAGCAGCACACTGTGAGAAATGCCTGGCAATCAGCGTTCACAAAGGTGACAGCCAAGAGCACGCTGGACCCAGGGGATGGTTCTTGTCCCTGGTAGCAGATGCGGTCAACGGGAGTTGAAACCAACTTACCAATCAGGGGTTCTCCCTCCCCTTTTAAAAAAATACTCGTCTATTGCCGAAAGGTTAAGCTTTTTAATTTTCACAGCAGCGGAGATACTATCATCTGCTCCTATTTACTCCTCTGATTTCCTCTTTGATCAAAAATGCATCTATGTTATGCTTCATCAGGCTAAGAAGAAATACAATCAAAATGCTGCTAAGGAGTGAGCATGGTGGAACTTCGCCTGGCTCACTTCAGACATAGCCTCAGGAAAGACCGTTTGCTACAACAGGACACACTTGATAAAGTGGAGGATCAGTAGAAAGGAGGGAAACTCAGGGAGATGGACAGACATAATAGCCACAGGAATGGACTCAGGCATAGCAATGGTCTTGAACATGACACTGAAGTAGGCCGTGCTTTGTTCTCTTATGTGCAATTCAAGGTTACCATGAGTCAGGGCCAACTCAACAGCAACTAACAACAACAATGCTATGCTTCAGCTGAACGAATCTTCTTACAAGTACCCTACACAATACACACCCTCAAGTCTCTGTTGTATCAAGAATGCCGTGCCTTTATCCAATGCTTGAAGAATCAGCAGGGTTAGCCACTAAATGAAGTCTTTCACCTGCCTTCCCTCCCTTCTCAGCTCCACCCAACTATAATTAGAGAACTCTTCTGAACTCTGCTGCTTATATAGCTATTTTCCCTCACTTAAATACAAGCTCATTGTCTCTCCAGTGCCTTATAATGACTAACAAATATTAAGTGAAGAGAGAAATTCTTAGAATTTGGATCAAGCATACTCAAGCCTCAGAACATTCTGGTATCCTTCTCTTGATTGACCCACGATGCAAAGAAAGAGAGGCAAAATTAACCCAAATGCCAATGATGACCTATTAATTATCTGCTCTCTCAGGAGCCTTCAGAAATCCCTGCACTGAAAATATATTTGGGAACCTTGCCCTGCCTCACAGGTAAACAACAAAAAAACCCTAGATCTATATATGCACACACACACACACAATAGGACTTCAAAAAGTTCGTATACAAATTGCATTATATTTTAACTCAGTGATTCTCAACCTGTGGGTTATGACTCCTTTGGGGGTTGAACAACCCTTTCATAGGGGTTGCCCTTTTCCGACCATTGGAAAACACCTAAATATTTCACAATCTATAATTGCATATTTTGGAGGGATTAATTACTATGCCTTAATTATGTTTAATTATATTCAATTTGTAACAATGAAAATAAATCCTGCATATCAGATATTTACTTTACAATTCATAACAGTAGCAACATTATAGTTACGCAGTAGCAATGAAAATAATTTTATGGTTGGGGGTCACCATAACATGAAGAACTGTATTAAAGGGTTGTGGTATTAGGAAGGTTGAGAACCACTGTTTGTTTTCTTAATTTATTTTTAAATCAATTTATTGGGGCTCATATAATTCTTATCACAATCCATACATATATCCACTGTGTCAAGCACATTTGTACATATGTTGCCATCATCATTCTCAAGACATTTGCTTTCTGCTTGAGCCCTTGGTATCAGCTCCTCAATGTTTTTCCCTCCTTCCCTCATGAACCCTTGATAATTTATAACTTATTATTTTCATGTCTTACACGGTCCGATGTCTCCCTTCAACAACTTTTATGCTGTCTACGCCCCAGGGAGGGGGTTATATGTAGATCATTGTGATTGGTTCCCCCTTTCTATCCCACCTGCCCCTTTTCCTCCTGGTATCTCTACTCTCATTATTGGTCCCGAGGGGTTTATCTGTCCTGGATTCCCTGTGTTTCCAGCTCTGATCTGTACCAGTGCACATCCTCTGGTCTAGCCGGATTTGTAAGGTAGAATTGGGATCATGATAGTGGGGTGGGGAGGAAGTATTAAAGAACTAGAGGAAAGTTGTATGGTTCATCATTGCTACACTGCACCCTGACTGGCTCGTCCCCTCCCCAAGACCCTTCGTAAGGGGATGAGAACCACTGTTTTAACTCCATTTTTTATATGAAATTTCTGAAGACCCCCTCATATATATATTTAGATGAAGGTTTACAGAGCAAATTATTTTTACAATTCATATGCCTGATGACTGCCATACTCAATGATATCACAACACATTTCTGGCTTTCTTCTGTGTTTACTCTTTCCATTTGTATTTCCTTCCCATCCATCAGCACCTTCTGAAGTTTATCCCAGGGCAAATTCTTCCCTTTAATTTCATATAGTGATTGCTCCGAGGCATTGATAAGCCCCTGATATTATTGTTCAAGACTGCCTATTGCTGGGCTGAAAGTTGAGCCATGGGGGTGAATTCAGTTCCAGCCTTGAAGCATGACCCAGGGCCATAATGTCTGAGGTGCCACGGTGTGTCAGACCTGTAAACCTGTCTTTTTTGAGAAGTCTGAACTTGGTTCTAGTTTCTCCTACTCTACACAGGGCGCTTTATGGAGGCTTCTCTCTGCATGGTGAGCCGTGCGGGACAGCAGAGACCGTCTGGTTCTTTCGGTCTCAGGGTAAGCTGCAAGAGCTCCTTTGGACTGACTGTTTCCCTGCCTCTTGAACTTTCCTCAGGACAAGCAGAGACCGATCGTTGTTATTTGAGATGACTGTTCACAAGGTTGTAAGACCCCGGTCACTACTTATCAGGCAGGGTAGGATGTGGAACATCTTCATGAACCATGACATGATAGTTGACCTTAATGTGACCCATGACTTTAGTCCCCAACCTTTCAAGCCAGTGATTCATTCCCTCCAGGTGTGTTGTTATGACTCTAGATGATACTCTCACATGGACATGAATCTTGCCTTATAAAGTAGGTCAAGGGCAAATCAGAGCATGCATGTGTGTCTATTTTTTTTAATAAGAGGATTTAGAGAAAGAGGATTTTGAGGATTTATACTCAGGAATATCTAGACAATGAATCTGGATCAAGTCGAAATCTCTTCCAGTAATGAGGATGGTTTGGAAACACCCAGAGGACTGTGAAGTCAACTGCCCTCGCAGATCAGCCAGCCCGCCTCCATGAGCCCTGGCATTGGAAGTTACTGGCATCTCCTGGTCTGACAACACCTCTCACTGTAAAGACTCTGTAACTGACTATAGGAGATTTAGACTGCTACGTAACAAACTCACAAAAGTGAAACCGTTGCTTCCCGACTCTTCTAAAACCAGATTCTATAACTGGATGAGACTGGGCAGGAGATTTTATATCCCTATTTTTAGTTGTGCCCCATTGCCATCTGGAAACCCCAGCGGCCCCGGGAAGCAGTTGGCCCTCTGTTTGGACACACCCTGCAGAGACCAACGCCTTTGCAGCTGCATGTGGAGCTATGGAAGGAGGCCAACTCTACAGAGTGACAGCAAGGGGTGAGCTGTTTCACCTTCTCCACCCAGCGCAGGCTAGACAATTCTCAGAGCAACACCAAAAGGAGACAGCAAACCAGTCCTAGGGCTAGCATTGCTAACTTGAGTGATGCAGGGAAGATACAGTCCGCCTTCAGCTGCTGCTTAGGCACTTGAGCGCCTGTTCTTTTCGCTCCTGATACACTAACCTGCAAGTGGGTCACTGCTCAAATCAAGGGGAGGGAGCCTCAGCACCCCCTCAGACATAACAAATTCCCACAAAGCCCACTTCCCTCAAGTTGACTCCTCACCAGAGAGACCTGACAGGATGGAGCAGATCCTTCGAATTCCCTACAGGATTTCCGAGCTGTACACTTTTACAAAAGCAGGCTGCTGTATCTTTCTCCTGGGGCGTGGTTTGAACTGCAGCTGAGTGCTTAATCACTGTGCACCAGGGCTTCCTCAGACAAAACAATGATCTTGATTACTTCTAATTTCTGCCCACAGTCCCAGGCCCCCCAAACACCAAGAGAAACTCTGTCTCCCAGGTGTGGAAGTTGGGTGGTTTGATGTCCAGTAGATACTCATGGCTAGGAGTCAAATCTGTCCACCCAGCACTTTGGGGGGCATGGCCTTTTGCATACGAGGAATGCCCCTCTGTCTCCCTGCCTGCTGGGGCTCTCCCTGCCTTTAGGGCAGCCCCCTGGGAGCTGCTGGACTCAGAGCAGCCAGAGCCCTGCCACCTTCCCATTGACTTTGGATCCATGCGATTGGTCTGTGATCTTCCTGCGTCCGACACGCCGCCTTTCTGTGTCACCAGCACGTGGCTGCGTGAGTCTGCAGAGGGCCTTAAGAGCCAGCATCGGTCTTATGGTCTTGAGTAGGATTGGGCTGGGCTGGCTTCTTGATCTATCATTATTTCTTGAGATAAAGCTCTTTCTGATACATAGCTGAGTGTCACTGGGTTTGTTTCGCTGGACCACCCGGCTTTGCACAGCACTCAAATTCCAGACAAACTACTAAGTTCTGAGTTCCTGAGAAAGTACAACGCAAAAGGGGAGACAACTCACGGGGCTCTTTTAGACCAAAGAGTTAATCTCAAACATAAGATATAGATTCAAATAATAAACAACTAGCTTCTCTTCAGGCACAGAATGGAATTTTCTAAGCGCTTTCTAATTTCTGGAGAGTAAAATGAGTCTTATTTATCAAATGAAAGGAGACAAGTGTTTCAGAAGAAAAAGAAAACAGTGTAAGACTCAACTACAGAATGACCTTAATGTAACACAATCTAATTAGCCAGCCTGACGTGAGAGAATGTAATATAGAGGACGAAGTGCTTGCCACGGGTGATTGCATTTCAAAAATGAAAGCAAACACAATTTTAAGTTGCCCCGAACAACATAATTGTTATTGTGGCGTCTCCCTCAGAAGATCCTGGCTCATAATGATCCCATGTGACAAAGGAGAAATGCCCCCCAGGGTTTGTTGGCTAGAATCTTTACAGAAGCACACGGACACATCTTTCTCCCGTAGAGCTGCTGCAGCAGGTTTGAACAACCAACCTTCCAAGGAGCAGCTGAGCACGTAACCACTGTGCCACCCGAGCACCTTATTTATACTGCCACTCATGTTCTCTCCAAGCACACTCACAATCTCCTCTCCTGGCCCATATCAATAAGACAGGTGCACACTTTTATGGAAGAGAAATGTGGCGAACAATGCCTTAAGGCTCCCTTTCCACAAGTCCCTGGGTGGCACACATAATTTGTGCTCAGCTACTAATTGAAATGTTAGTGGTTTAAACCCACCCAAGTAGAACTGCAGAAGAAAGACCCGGCAATGCAGAAAACACTGCAGTGCTCAGTTCTGCTCTGTGATGCAGGAGGTCCTCATGAGACAGAACTGACTTGACATTTGCTTCGATGGGGATTGGATTCCTTCCACTTGTAGTGCCTGAGCCAAGCTAATGCTTCTTTCAAGCACAGTGCCCTCCCTGCTGGTGAAAAGGTCAGCTTAGCAAGGGCTCCAGAGCTCATCACCCTTCTCAGCATCCTCCCAGTTTAAAATAACAACATGTTCTTAAAAGGACAGGCCTAAGTAAGAAAGCATGTTGAGTTACAAGGGGATAGAAGAAAGCACCACAGTACCATAAAACAGAACATAGAGTTTTATTTGAGGAGGAGTTACCACATCCATATGCTTATCATAATCTGTGGGCGCTTTGTCCCTGAGGTCTGAGCACCCCAGAATTCAGAAATGTCTGAGCGTTCCTGGAGTTCGGGAGAGTAGTGATCTATCTTTATCTTTTCTCCCAGGGTCTTGTTAAAAGAACCGCTGGTAGCATGAGCAGCTGAGAAACTACATTTCCCAACGTGCTCTGCATACAGAGCAGCCAATGCGATGTCGGGAGGAGTCACTTCTCAGGGAGCTGTCTTTCAGTGACTTGGCTTCATGCTGCGACCCAACAGAGTCTAGAAGTAAAGGCAGAGAAAAGCAAGGGAAGTGGCTTCGATCCAAGGAGATACTGAGCCAGCACCACTGCTATCTTTCTTCCTGATGGCTTATAACAGGAGAAAAATATAGCCTTCATATTTATGCTATTGTACCTGGGTCTCTTTTGCAGTAGCTGAACCCAGTCCCCATCTGATATAACTGGCTCTCTTGAGGATGGAAGTCTAGGCAAAGCCCCTGAGCAGGAACCCTATCAGGGAAAATGGAGATGGCCCAGCTTGCAACAAAAATGGCAGGCACTTGTGCTATGGGATTGAGAATGTTTTGTTAGAAAAGTCAGTTGTAATTGACTGTAAAATAAATTAAGATATGATATGACTAATGGCCCTTATTAATACTAAATTTTATTTAATGGTGATAAAACTGGGAACCAATGGCCAATGCAACACTTACTGACCTATTTAAGATACACAGTTTACTTTTGCTGCAAATACACCCATGCATGTAGTGGACCACATAGGGAACCAAGTTCCGCAAACTTCTTAGACATAACCACACACACTGGGGGGATGAGTCACTGGGTTCAGGAGCTTGGGAGCTCAGTCTCTGGGGACACCAAGCCAACTGGCAGAACCCAGTCCACACTAACGCAACAATCTACGTCCGACGTTGGTATGCGGTGACTGGGTTCCCCAAAGCTCGTGAGCGTCCACCTAAAGTGCGATGATGGGTCTCTCCAGGTCAAGGAGAAAGAAGAGTGATGAGAACCAAAGACACATGGAAGCAATCAGTCCAGTGGACGAACAGATCGTGTGGCCACCACCCTCCACCACCCTGCGACCAGAAGATCGAGAGGGTGCTGCACTCCCACCACCCCGATGGAGGGAGGGGGAGGAGTATGTGGAACCACACTCCCAATTATGAAGGAGACCAGGCTCACTGGGCAGACTGAAGCTGCCGAAACTCCTGAGACTCTGGCTTTTAACACCTAGGTTCAATTTTCAGTTCCACAGTAGGCAGGACTCTAAGGAGAACTTAGAATAATCAACCCTGTGAGACCAAAAGGGCAATGTTTCCCCAGGGACAGAGTTCAGAAGGGCTATAAGAGATGGAGGAAACAGAAAAGACAGGAAGGAAGACGGAAGAGGGGACTGCATGGAATGAGATGGAATGACTGTGAAAGGCTGACTATAAAACCGGTGATTGGCTCTGTAAACTGGCATCCAATTCACAATGAAGAGTTTAAAAGTTGTTTTTTCATGGAAAGGTGGATTGGATTCACTTTGTTGCACTTACTACTTTAAAACCCTCGTCAACGCTGACCTGCTCGGCACCAGCTATGCCAAAATCATTGTTCTTGTGTGAGAAACGAATAGTGTACTTACTAAATGTTTACTGGTTGCCTACAACGAATCTGATGCTATGTGAAATATAAGAAAGGGGTTCCTGGCTCAGAGGGATAGTAAAACACACCAAAATAAAATGGATGGCCATTACATTGCATCGTAAGATTTTCTCATTTTTAAAGAGTTTTTATCAAAAGCCAAGGCAGAGTTTTGTGATACAAAGTGTAACTAGCAAAGTCAAAAAGGGGCCGCTTGGTGAAGACTAGGTTCATACGGCTGATTCTGAATTACAGATGTAACGGAGAAATATGGAGGGGAGGAGGCAAGGAATGACTGAGAAATCCAGGGAGAAGGATTCTTAGGAGAAACAATCAAAGCCATCACAGGGGAAATATCTGGGAACATTATCTCTTAAAGCATCTACAGGAACCCAAAAGTTTTAAAAAGAGAACTGAAGCTGCCCGCAAATGGAACAGTGGCACAAACACGGAAAATGCATCGTCATCGTTCGGTGCCTTCGAATCAGTCCTTGTGCAATACGTGAAGGGCATGCTCCCCGTCTTGCTTTTGTACAGCAGAAGAACTGCTGCAGGAGAAGCAGCCTTGCGGCATCCTCACAACTGTTACGTGTGAGCCTGCGGCTGCAGTCTCTGTCCGTCCATCCCACTGAGGCGCTTTCTCATTTTCACTGACCCTCCACTTCACCAAGCATCATGCGTTTGATCCATGTTTCCTCCTGAGCATTTGCCCAAAATCTGTCGGATGAAGTCTTGCCACTCTTGCCGCCTCGGGACATTCTGGCTCTCCGTCCTCCAGGCAGATTATTTGTTCTTTGGCAGTCCATGGTCCTTTCGGCTGTGCTAGTAGCAGAATTAGGAGGCTCACAAAGGACCCTTTAACCCACTGTATTTAGCCAAAGAATTAGATAACCGTGATTCAAGCATGCTCTCTATCATTTTGGTATTTTCTGACTGTGGCCTCCTCTGGCTCAATAACAGAGGAGTGGTCAATGCAGGTCTTTACATAAACTCCTCTTCATAACTTGTTGATTAATCAGAACAAAGGGGTCACAAAAATACTGCCTACTCTATGGATCTCATTTTGAGAAACTTAGGTTTTAGAAAAAGATGAGTAAATGCATGAACAATTTTAAAGATTCTCCTTCGAGATTACAAAAACACATATACAAAAGCTCCTAACCGATTGTAACACACACCAACTAGCAATGTAAAGGCACTATTTCAAGGCCAGGAAACTGATCCCTACTTTATGACTCTGCAATGTTGAACTTTTACCGTATCAGGCCAAATTCCTGCTTTCAATCTGGCTAAAGATTTCTCCAGCTTTATGCTCTCCCCAGGCTCCAGGATGCCCTGGATTTTCAAGAAAAATCAATTTTCAAGTCAATATTTATTGAGCACCTAAGATATGAGTTGGCTAAGTAGCTGAAGGCACAAGTTAGCTAAAGAGCTTCCAGGTCTGTGATTTTAAGTGGCACTTTAGCAGGCAAGGAAACACGAGATATATATTTAGAAACCAAGAGACACAACCCATCAGTCTCCTCCGGCTTTTGCATTATAAATACCTTTGCAGCTGCATGAGGTGAGGCTCCTTGGTCCAAAAGCAGAAGGGCCACTTTCTGATTATCGTAGTGCGTAGCTACATGCAGTGGAGTTAGCCCGCTCTGAAACACGTGCAGAGACAACCAGTGTCACAAGTCTAGATTTAGGAACACGGACTAGACTGGATGGAACACGGAGCATCGTTTACATTACAGTTTCCAAATACCTGCATCCAAATATTCACCTCTCATTTCCCAAATGTTTCCCACCCCAGCGAGGCTTACTGTGGCTTAGTTGTCATTGGAGTGGTGGCTGGTGAACATGAGCAAGCACTAGTCTGGTTAACATGCAGTGGCCTGTTGCAGGGGGAACAGTGACCTCCTACCTTCCCGGAAGCATCAGGAGACGCACTCTTCTGCAGCAGGTGATTGGCTACTTCAAGTTTCCCATACTTTGCTGCCACGTGAAGGGGAGTAAATCCTTTCTGGAAAAAAAAAAGAAGAGGAAAGAAACACAATACAATGAGCAACAGAAACAGTGCAAAGGCACCACTTTTCTAGAGCGCAGGGTCCTTCTAACGGCGCAGGCAGTTGACCCGTACTGAAGAACAAACGCTGGCAGCCGAGCGGCCCCCGACCGACAAGACAAGGCTGAGCAGGACCGCCCAGGGGCTCTCACCCTTCTTTCCTTGCTGCTGACTGAGGGACAACGTGCCATCAATTCTGGGACTTCCCGGGATGTGACAAAGATGAGGCTGGGTAGCTGGATCTGGGGCTCAGTCCACGGCCATTTTGTGGTTCCATATTCTGGAAAGAGGGGGCTGGAGCGGGGCCCCAGGCCCAAGTTGGGGAGCCTCCAGAAGGGAATGTTTGAGATAATCCTAGACTCTTTCACCCTCAGAGTGGACCCTTTCTCTCTTTACCCACGTGTCCTGTGCCAGCTCTAGTCTGCACGAGGAGGAGGCAGGTGTCACCACGGGTGAGCCATGATGGCACATGGCTCTAGTCCGTAGTACGGGAGAAGTAGGCTGAGGGTGGAGTGCCTGCTTCCATCCAGCTGCTACATGCATGTTGGTATCAAGCAGCCATGCAGCAGGGCTGGGAGGGAGAGTGGGCTACACAGAGCCTCAGGAGACCCCGGCAAAGGAGAGCCAGTGGTTAACCAGCAGGTAGAAGATCTGCGGCACCCCAGCCCCATGATCCATTCTTCTGCTTCCTGTGTTTAAGAAAGGGCCATAAATTTGTAACTCAACTCTACTGAAGAGGTTAAAGAATCACAGCAGATGGAGGCTGGGGTAATCAGGATTTATCTAGAGTCATCCAGGTACTTATAATGATCTTCTGTATCGATGGCATGTTACTGCTTCTTGTCTGCACCCCAATAAGACAGTATCATGCCCATGTCTGGGTCTCTCTGACCGGCCACAGGCCAATCCATCTTGCTGCCACCCTTGCTAGCTTGATACAGTTTCACCAGAGAAAATGAACTTGGGTTTCTACACATGCAGAGCGGATTGTGTGGGAAGGGCTTAAAAGTTTTTCTACGGCATCTAAGAGTTGGGTAAAGAGTTCAAAACATAAATTGGACAATATGACAACAATAACAACAGGCAAATAAAAACCAAACATGGACAAATTCACACTCTGGTTATAAGAGTGTGTACTTCTTCTTGAGTCTCCAGGCAGTCATACCCGGGTCTCACTCAGAGAAAGCAGTGGCCATGATTCTGTACTACCACTTGTCAAATAAGTGGCAAGAAGTCTCTGATTCCAGGTATCAATCAATATTAGAAGCTAATGCACTAGGATGAAGAAAATACTCTAAAACTGATTGTGGTAATGATGCACACCTCTTCCTGATGTCATTCAACTGGTGAATTGTCTGCTACATGAATCATATGCCATTCAAACTGTTAAATAAAAATAAAATTGATTTTTTAAATGCTTAACAAAAAAAAGAAGACACTATACTGAGAACCTTAGGATCAAAAAAATTCCCCACAAACTATAAACAACTATCCTCCCCTGCCCCAGAGCTGAGCTTAGCTATAGGTAATGTCTACCCAGGGCTCCCACATGGAAATGCTATTACTGTGCTGGGAGTGGTAAGAAGGCTGTGTTTGGGGGACAGGGGAAAACTCTGGACAAGCTTGGTACCTTTGTTGTTATGGACAGAGATGCGCCGTGATCTAAAAGGAAGGAGGCCACGTCTTCGTGCCCCTCTCGGGCTGCGAGGTGGAGGGGGGTGTACCCCGATGTCGTGGCTGCATTTGGAGATGCTCCTTGCTGCAGCAGCTGTTGCACTATATCTGCCTTCCCCAGTCTGGCTGAAATGTGCAGTGGGGTTTGGTCATCCTAAAAAGCAAGGTAGAAATACAGCGTCATTGTTAAAACATCGAGAATCGTAGCTGCTTGGGATCAGAGGCTACAGTCAACCGCTCCGTTCGGTGTGAAAAAGAATCTCTTGAGCTTTTTTCTTTCAGGTTATGAAAGGTAGAGATGGGGGAATTTAAGCTCTTTAAATACTCCTGGTGCGACCTAGTAGCATGAGAACTATGTTAGGCAGTTTCACTTATAAATGGGGCCCCTCACCACCTACCACAGTTTAAATTTTTAACTTGTAAAAGTTCTTTTTTTGATAGTCAAGGAAATATATACAGGTAAAATGTTATTATACCTCCATAAGGTATTAAGCACTCATATAGTAGGGATACTTTGTCTCTCCTTTCTCAGAGTCACAAAAAGGGAATAAGAAAGGGTGCTAGAGGGTCATGCAGATACATAGCCTGCACCAACGTTCCCAGCTACAAGGGTTAATGGGGGAGACAAAGACGGGTGAGAGCTACGTTCCTCTGGCTCGGGCTACATCTTCCTAAGCAGACCTTATTCAAATTCCCCCAACACCAGGAGGCACTCACCAAGAGGAGACTCCTGAAAGCTTAGGGCTTTATCCTCAAGTGGATGGGGTATCTATTCCTAATGTTCCCCCAAACGCCTAATTGATTAGTGGTGGGTCTCTAGGGGGCAAAAATCCCCTACAGGAATTCGACACAGTTTAGGTAATCCATTAAGAAGGGGAGAGAGAAGGGCACTGCTTTGGAAAGGCCGGTAAGACGGTCAAGGACAAAGCCGGACGCTCTCTGCAGGCAGCAGGAAGCAGGGGAGGAGATTTCCAGGACCAGCGCCGGGAGGGCAGCACTGCGATCCTTACAGAGATCGAGGAACAGTAAAACCTGACCTTTCCGGAGCCCCCAGCATGCCCCAGGCTCTGTCCTAAGTCCTCCGTCTTTATGAACCCATTCATCCTCACAGCAGTCTTAGCGATTACAACTAACATGATCACCATTGTCTTTCTTTCTTTTGTTTTTTGGAGGAAGGTTTAACATTTTTTAAAAGATCATTTTATTGGCGGCCCTTACAGCACTTATAACAATCCATACGCCAATTGTATCAAGCTTATTTGTACATATGTTGCCATCATTATTTTCTAAACATTTACATTCTATTTGAGCCCTTGCTATCAGCTCCTTTTTTGCCCTCCCTCCCCACTCCCACCCTTGAGTCCCCTTGATAAATTATAAATTCTTATTATTTTCATATCTTACACCAACTCCTGTCTGCTTTCCCCCGTGGTTCCCCCCCACCCCTCCTCTCACTACCTTCCCCCTACCCTCCTGGTATCACTACTCCCATTTCTGTTCCCAAGGGGTTTATCTGACCTGTGTGTGGGCAGCTCTTCTCTGTACCTGTGTACATGCTCTGGCCGAGCCCACAGTGAAAGTCGGGACTGGGATCATGATGGTGGGGGGTGTGGAAGCCTCAAGGAACCAGAGGAATGTTGTGTGTTTCATCGGTGCTTTCCTGCGCCCTGGTTGACTCCTTCCTTCCTTGCGACCCTTCTGTGAGGGGATGTCGCATTGTCTACAGATGGGTTTTGGGTCTCTGCTCTGGCCCCACCTTGTTCTCAACAACATATCCCCATTTTCTTGACGGAGAAATGACAAGAGGAAATGTGGCACCAACATGTTCATTAACTTGCCGATATTACACAGCGAGTGAACAGCGGGCCAAGATTCAAACCCTGGCGGTCTGGCTGAGAGGGCCCCTGTGCCTTTATTACAACACTGCCCTTTTAATAAAGGCTCCTTGGACGTCCCATCCTCACTTCAGTTTGTGGGGACACCAGTCCGCAGGCGTAATGCTTTGTCCATAATGAATGGCCCTCCACAGTCGATACTGTCCGGTCTCCGTTAACCTTTTTTTTCCAGAAGCTTTACATAGAAGTCATTTTCTCAAGACGGGAGCCACCTGTGCACCACAGCTCGGTTCTGGTTCCTCAGGGTTTGGGACTAACAACGTGTCCAGATCCATTTCGGACATACGGTTCTCACACCTCTTCATTTTCTTGGGTGACTGAATGAGCGAGTATGAAGGGTAGGGCTTGTTCCCTAAACTTGACTTTGGTAGAAATGTGAACCATTGGAGTTCATTCACTACTTTAAGAAAGTATTTTTTTAAAAGAACACCTATATGTTTAAATGTTTTATTAAAACTAGGAGTCCTCCCTCCCTCCCTGAGTAGCACACGTTTTCAAGTTCAACACATACCTTAGCTTTAGCTTCCACTTGAGCTCCGTCTTGTACCAGATACCGCACAACTTCAGCTTGACCCGACCGTGCAGCCATGTGCAGCGCTGTTTCGCCTCTCTGGGGAACACAGGCCAACACAGGGAATCAACCGCCATTCCGAATTAAAGTGGCGTCTTTTATTTGAATTAAACCCAGGGTGTAGGCGATCATTATTTTACATTAAAAATAGTTTCAAGCCACTTATATATTGGAAGGATCGGACATCAGGTATGTAAGAATTTCACCTGCAACTGAGCCACGATACTGAGAACTTGGGTGCAACTCTAGGACGTCCTGTCACCAGCAGTCAGAAACAGCGCTCAGAGGATGGACACAGTGGCTTTATTAGGGATGAAAGATGAGTACTGAGGTTGGAAAGGAGGTGGAGCAGCTGGGTGGGGCTCACAGGAGCGCCCCCTGAGTGGGGCAACTGCTCCCTGACCCCCGAAGGCTGCCACGCCTGCGGTGCATAAGTGACAGCCCCTTGACGCCCCTCCTCCTTATTGGTAGAGAAGTGGCAGTTTGGATATAGGTATAAAGAGCTCAGTGTATAAATGTGGACCCCAGAATCAAAATTAAAATGCTGCCCTGGTCCCATAAACAAACCCCTCAGCCCGCTCGTCTCAGGCTGCTCTCTGTTCATCTGAACCCAGGTCCGTAATCTGGTCTTGGGCACGACCCCAGGGGCTGTTTTTTTACCAACGGACTCCTCCCTTACCCCTTCACCAAGTATGGTCTCTTACAGAATGGAAATACGGCAAGGGTTGTTTGAAACCGTAAAATGCAGCAATGAAAATCACACCCCTTCTCTCCCACCAGCCACCACCACCTCTGCATTGCTTCTGAGGCCCAGGAAGGACAAAGGAGCCGTATGTCCACCAAGCATGTCATACTTGTGGAAATGCGTTGAGGGTCTTGTTCAGCATTTTCCCCACTGCTTGCTTCATGGAGGGAAACCTTCTCTTTCTGGCTTGAATATCACGAGAGATTTTTCTCTGCTGAGAAGCTGGTCTCTTTCTATCTTACAGGTGTACGGATATGGCCGCCGGAAAAGCCCTACAGGAGGCCTACTCTGGGGGTCACTTTCTGGGTGAACAATTGCTTCCCATGTCTGGGCAAGCAGAAAGATGAATAAGGGAGGCCGAACCACAAGCTAGAGAAGAAGAAACAAATCCGTCTTGGAAGAAGTGCAGCCATCATGCTCCTTACAAGCGAGGACGGCAGTGCTCCACCTCACACTTGGAGCGTGTTAGCAAGAGGGAGTTCCTGCAGAAAGACATACTGTCTGAATCAGTGGAGGGTCCGCGAGAAAGACAAAGACCCACAAGGAGAGATGCATGAGCACAGTGGCTGCAATGTTGGGCTCAAACCCAGGGACGATGGCGAGGAGGGCACAGGACTGGGTGGTGTTTGATTCTCTTCCACCTGGGTCCCCTATGTGTCAAAATGGACTTGGTTGTCTTAATCACACCACCCCCCTCAGGGAGGGACCATCGACTTGCCTTATCTGTTCTGAATGCTGCTGCTATTAATTTTATTGCTTTCGTGCTCTTGATTTCAATGCATGTTCTCATGCGTGTAATTCAAGATGCTAACGTTTTTGTCGTATTTAGAATTGTGCAAACCAATGACAGATGCCAGACACCCATGTAGGGTAACGTGTTACTACTCTGTGTTCTGAAGCAGTACTTGGGAGGGAAACACCGCCATTCGATAATCTACACACCCAGAATTCCACGAGCTTGCTGGGACATGGTCAAGCACATTAATAAGAAATGACTTTGAAGTTACCTGAGATCACTTCTTTATGCAAATGGAGAGTATTGTACCACCTCAACACACAGCACTTCTGGCTACTTTGGTTTCAGGATGTCTCCCTCCACAAACACTTTTGTTTCCTAAGTAGAACACCCACTAGAAATGTACCCGTGAGGTGAGTAAACACCATCAACTATCTGTGTTCTCACAACAGTCTAACCTTTGTGGCCAGCTAACGACTGAATAGATCTTACCTTAGCAATAAAAGAAACCACAGGTAGTCTTAAATCTCAAACCCTGTCCTTTTAAATAGTCAAACAAAATATAATCAGATCTAAATATAATTAAAAATAAGCAGATAAAAAACCACCTTTGTAAGTTTCTTAATAACTCAGAATTGAACTTTCTCTGTTGGAAGGATACTTACCACATTGGTGGTGTTTGGTGAGGCTCCATGATGCATGAGTTGTGATACAATATTTACATGTCCCATGAAGGCAGCAACATGGATAGGGGTAAGGCCCGACTGAAGGGAAAAGAACAATGTGCATTTACCGGACATTCCCGGAAAGTGTTTGTCTGCCTGTTGTCCATCTGTCCATCCACTCACCCATTCATCCACTCACCCATTCATCTAGCTACTGCCACACCGGTGTTCGGATCTGGGCAAGCAACATCAGGACATTTACCACCCTATCACGGATGCAATAAGACAGCTAACTCAATGTATAATCATCATTTCCCTAGGGGATGACCTGTGTCTAGAAAGACCTAAGTCACACCTGGAGTTCCTCCAGCACAAATGTTTCAGGGCTGGCGGAGCAAACTCACAGAGGCACCTGGGGCACCAGGCATGGGAGTCTACTTCTGAGAGGCCACGCTGTGAAAGCCCGAGGGAGCAGGTGGGCTCTGCACAGACAGGGTCCCGTGAGTGGGAATCAACACCACAGCAATGAGCAATAGCAACATCAGCATATTCATGAAGGGAGAAAGAAGATGATTTGTACAAAAGCAGGCAGATGTGAAAAAGTCATTTAGAGGAAAAGAACTTGCGGGTATTTTTTTCTTTCTTTCTGTCGCTACACAGTCTTCCTTATCTGAGTGTGTTGGGGGCTGGTGTGTGTTTATACACATTTGTAAAAATTTAATGGCTTTTCTTTCTAATCCTTTGCAGTACTTTAGAAAGGAATGCCGTGTGCTCAGAATAAAGTGAAACTTCCAGGCTCCTCACACAAATCCACTCAGCTAAGAAAGGAACAAACTAGTGCTAATAGTTTCATATAATTTGAAAAATTTTGTAAGTGTTATAATTAAAGGTAATACAACTAAGGCAAATATTAGGCAACATAATTAAGGCTGTTATCACAAGACAAATTTATGTTTACTTCAGATCCCTACATCCAGACACACCCCACAAGCACGATGTATCGTAAAGCAAACTTCATTGACTGTATTTTGTATCATACTTAATGTACTCAGCATGGTGAATAAACTTTAAAAGATCAAAGTGTCCAGTAAAAGAGTGCTAAAAAGTGTGGTTTACTATTTAATGAAGTGATTCTATGCTTGGTTTATCAGAATTTAATTCCGTTTACATATGACCTTCACAAATTGATTACAACAATTAAAATGTCTAGAAAAAGTTACTTTGTTTTTGGGAAAGGGGGGGTCTGGTTCTCCACAGGAATTTAAGAAGTATCAAAACATGCTTTAAATGTAATTTTATGCTAAACAAATGAGGTAAAAAGACAGAAAAAGAATAATTTTCATTGTTCAGATTTCAAATCGTGAGAAAAATTGAGAAAAGAAAAATAATTCTGTTATCATTTGGCACGTTTTGGATCAGCGGGGGAGCTGCTAAAGTGTATACATGGCTGAACTACTACACTGCTTTCACAGCTTTCAGGACGCCCTCTGCTGGCCAGAGAGGCTTCTCGCTGCTCTCCAGTGTTTGAACGTTTATTTACTCATCCACCAGAAGCCCATTTTTATTTCTGTCCGTTCTGACCCTTATAAACGGTTTCTATGTATTGAGAATAAACCTAATACTCTCTACTGAAATAACAAGGCCTGACAGAAAGTCAGAAGTCAATACACCGAGTCAGTATTAATAACTTACGTAATTTAATTCTAAAAGTGAGAGTATTGAAAATCAGGACAAATATTCCACTTGTGGTTAAAAACACAAAGCAAACACATGCACTGAAGCGCACCTTACTTTTAGGTGCATTCAATAAGCTTTACTGAATGATCTAGGGTGGGCCAGACATCATGGCGATAAGCACCAGTAAGACAGCCCTGCCTTCAAGGAGTCCGGATTTTCCAGGAGGCAGACGGAGTGGCAGAGTCTTAAGTAAGACAACTGGACAGAGGCTTGAGAGGCAACCGCACAGGATGTCATGAGGGTCCCGAGGAAGAGCATCTACTCCTGGCCAGGCTGGGGGAAGGGGAAGGATGTGCAGGATGAGCCTGCCATGGGGGGCAGGGAGGGTGCAGAAGCCCCAGTGGGTCGCCTCTGTGGATCCCAGAAGTCCCACAGTGCTAGGAGGCAGGGGTAGGGGTGGAGCGTAGAGGGCATTTGCGTTAAAGGAGGGTAGCTGTGAAGTGAGTCTGGAGGGGAAGGGTGTGTGTGTGTGTGTGTGTGGTGTGTGTGTGTGGGGTGTGTGTGTGTGTCTCCCCAGGCCTGCTTTGTTCTGTTGACAGCTCAGTCCTCATTCTGATGGATAACTTACCTGTATGAGAAATTTAGAGTGAGGCTTTCTTTGACTTCAGCCACCTCTGTATCCTGGGAATGATAAATTTTCATGCAGCGCAATCCTTACTTACAAACACAGATGCTGTATTATGCCTGGTCTCTCTGTACTTCTGACATTTTCAGTAGAAAATGCCTTGCCATGGAGGATTCTCGTGTGTTTGTAGGATGTTTAACAGGAGTCCTGGCTTCTATCCACTAGATGCCAGCAGTGACCTCCAGTTGTGACCAACGTCCCCAGGAAGGTGGAACTGCCTCTAGTCGAGGACCACTATGCTACTGGATTTCATACTCATTGAGGCAGCCATGAGAGCGGCTATGTTTCCAGACAAGGTGATGGATTTTTCCTCGCCTACACACTGCTCCTGGACACCAGTCTCTTCCCTCCTCTAGGGAGCAGTATCAGTCCTGTGCAGAGCACCGTGAGCGGCACCCTGGCTGCGGAGGCTGTGCCGGGCCGAGCTCCTCCAGCCCCAGCAGCCCTTCTTCTTACCTCGGTCACAGCTAGGATGGATGCGCCGTGCTTCAGCAGGAGTTCCATGACTTTGATCCGGTTCTTCTTGCAGGCAATATGGAGCGGAGTAAAGCCGTTCTGCAAGGGACAAACGCACACATTTACTTGACGTGGCCCGTGGAAGTCCTATGCCACTATGTGTGCGTACAATCTTTTCACTAAAAAGATGTGCTGTAAGGGTTGACAAGAAGCAAAAACAACGAGGGCGTTGACTAGAATGTAGAGTATTTTTCGGCAAGCAGGGGTTGTACAGCTGCTCTGAGAAGCCCAAGAAGTACCGGTCATGAAGACTTATTTTGGAATATGGCCTTTTCTTCCTCTGGTTCATTTCTGACTCAAGTGGTCAACAGCTGGGCCCAAACATACAACCTCACAGCCAGAGCATTGCCAAGGCCAATTTTAATTTCTTCTCCATTTCGTTAATTTCTTAGAATATTTAAAAGGTTCAAGGAGGTGCTTAATTGGTATTTAGTCAAATAAAATAATCTGCTTTCTAACAAATTACTAATCAAATTGTACTGCCTTATAATTGAGACTACATATTTCAGCTAACAATGGATAGCAAAGCAAACAACAACCCCAAACCAGAATTCACTGTAAAAGCTTTAGGTCAGAATCACTACAGGTCCTTCCACGTTGGCTCCCAAGACCTGTTACTTGGGCCCAGCTCCTCTCGATCTGGCGGGCGGGACTTAGTGCTGTAATTGGCGAGAAGGAGTCCACATTCTGTTTAAAGGTGACCAGCTCCCCACCCCTTTTTTTCATGACTAGAAAATGAGCTATGATTGCTAATTTCTTTTCCTCCTTTCTCAGAATTCAAAGATGATTTTTGAGATATGGGGCAGGTCAACAGTTCTTGAAGGGTTGCTCTAGTGAACGCTTTTCAAATTAGCAGGGGGAACCGAGGTGCATGACTTGGGGAGCGCTCCATCCAGCATCAGAGCTGGTGGAGCAGGGACACAGAGGTGCCTTGGGTCCATTCGGACAGGGTGCATGCCCTGTCTACAAATAAATAGAGCTCTGTGATTGGACGGCAGTCTCTTCCTCAAAAATTGTTAGTGACTCACTTGTTTTTCCTATAATTTGGTAACTTTTCCTTGGTAGGCTTTATCATTTGTTCTCTCATTAAATGGGAGGACCATAAAACATACACTGAGATCTATAAAATATACATATAATTCAGGTTACGAAATGTCTTAAAAAAGAGTACCAGTCAAATTTATAAGCTCTGCCTGCATTTGGCCAAACGACAGAGGCTTCATAGCGAGCGAGCCGGATTCTCCTTTTCTTTGTCTCTCTTTCTCTCAACCACTTTTTCTTGTTGTCATTTGTATTTTCTTTACTAGGAAAAGATACCAAAAAGTGAAGGTCGTCCTACTGGTAACTGTGAATCACTATTTACCATAGTCCATCCTGACTCCATTTACATATTTCTGAAAGAAGGGAAAAGTTTCCCGGGTAGATGTGAAGGACTGCTTGGGGCTGAGTGAGAGGAAGCTAAACAGCCATCACTACTTGGAGAACGGTCGATAAAAAGTCAAATTAATTTTGATGTGACTAGAGATATTCACCTAAACTGATAGGTGAGTATGAATGATGAATTAAATGTATCACTCTTATTTACTCTTTCATTCCGATACAGGGGAATAGGAACCCTGGTGGTATAGTGGGTTAGGCATTGGGCTGCTAACTGCAAGGTCAGTGATTCGATTCCACCAGTCATTCCGTGGGAGAAAGAAGGGGCTTTCTACTCCTGTAGAACTACAGGAAACCCACAGGGGCAGCTCTACCCTGTTCTGTAGGGTGACTATGAGTCAGAAGAGACTCAGCGGCAGTGAGTTTGAATGTCTGCCTCCTATCATTAAATTACTATTCTAATAAATTCTATTACACTTTCAATGCTTTCCCAACAAAATGCTGTGGTAAAATGGACATTCGCATGAGTTTATTGCTGAGAAATCGAAGGCATGGTGGAATTGAGGTTACAGAGCAAATCATTTGAGGAGTGAAGAGTGGAGCACAGCCCTAAATTTTAACTTTTACCCAGAGGAAAAAGATGCCAACAGGCAATATTTCCCGAACTTGCACAATTAACAATAACAATTTCAGCTTGCAAATTTCTTACCCCCTTTAGGCTCAAGATTAAATATTTGCTCATTTTGTCTGTTCCTTTATCTCAAAAATAACTTTTAATTTACATAGTGATAACTGTACAAATAGAAGATGAGGTTGATCACACTGGCCTTCTGATAAACGTATGGCCTTTGTGTGTCAGTTGTATGAGAGAATCCCTAGTAGACCCACAGGTAATGCTTTCCCTGGACCAGTGACAGAAAGTTTGATGGATTCCCCAGAAGATATTTGAGGGGAAAAAAGACCAACTGACTCTTTAAATAACGAGCACCTTCCATTTTCACCCGCTCAAAAGCAATACCTTCATGCGCCACGTTGCCAGCGAGGCCGCGGAGGTGGGATTTATTGGCTGAGCCACTCACCAAGGCTTTGGCATTGGGGTTAGCTTTCTTGTCCAAGAGCACCTTGGCGACTTTGTAGTGACCACAGTGAGCAGCCACGTGCAGGGCCGTCAGGTAGTCATTGGTGACGTCGTCCACGGGCACATTGTGCTGGAGGAGAAGCTGGACGCAGTTGAGGTGATCGCCTTGCGTGGCCATGTGCAATGGAGACAATCCATTCTGGAACGCAAGAGGCAAATCGAAATCACTCATTCAACTTTTCGTCACAAACACGCCGAACACAGAACGTACATATGGACAGACGAAAGCTTTAACGTTCACACAAAAATACCTTCTATTTTAGAAAGGGTGCCAACAATTGCTTTGGATTTGTTGATTTTTACACTCCCGCTTTTAAAATGTCCTTTTCCGATTCAAAAATAGTATCCGTTGAACAATGAACAAGGACTAGTATTCACTGAGGAGCCCCCGGGTGGCACGAATGGTTAAGTGTTCAACTCCTAACTGAAAGGCTGATAGTTCTAATCCTCCCAGAGACACTGGAAGAAAGACTTGACAACTTGCTTATGAGAATTTATAATCACTGAAAATCCTGTGCACAATTCTACGCTCCATACCTGGCTTGCCATAAGTCAGAATCAACTCCATGGCTAATGGCTGGGTTTGGGTTATTATTATTTGTTGTCAGGTGTTTCTGAGTCAGCTAAGACTCCTAGTGGCCCTGTGTACAACGGAATAAAACACTGCCCAGGCGTGTGCCACACACCCAGTTGTTGCTGGAGCCGCTGTGACTCAGTGGGTCTGTCTTCTTTTGGGCTGACCTTCTGCCTTCCAGGCAAGGTAGCCTTTTCCAGGAACTGATATTTCCTGGTAATGTGCCTAAAGTATGCTAGATGTGTCCTCTGTGCTCGAAGGGGCATTCTGGATTTACTTCAAGATGGATTGGTTTGTTGCTCTGGCCGTCTATGATAACGTCATCATTTAAGCGCACCCATTCTTCCCCTGCCTTCCTTATTCACTGTCCAACTTTCACAAGCACAGAGGTGATTGGCAATCCCGTGGCTTGGGGGAGATGCATCTTAGTCTTCAAAGTGATTTCACGGCTCTTTTATGCTTTAAGCAGATCTTGTGCAGAAGATTTGCCCAATGCAACATGCTGTGTGATCTTCTGACAGCTGCTTCCATGTGCATCGATAATATATCCAAGTAAAATTGAACCCTTGACTTCAACCTTTTCTTCCCCATTTATCAGGAGGCTGTTTGGGGGGGCTAGTTGTGAAGATTCTGTTTTCTTAACACTGAGTTGTGATCACAGAAGGCTGCATGTAGTCTTGGATCTTCATCAGCACTTTCTGTAGTCCTCTTGTCAGATCTGTCAGCTGCGTATCACAGGTTACTCTTCTTGGTCTTGGTGCGGTGGTCGCTTCCATCTAGCCCAGCTGTCAGATTGTTTGCTCAGCAGACACACTGAGTAAATAAGTGTTAGGGTATACCTGTGAGATTTTTTTTATTTAATGTACAAAATAGTTGATTATGGACATCTGTAAAAACATTTGGTGTTGCATAGGGAGGGACAAATGTCTTACAGGTTAAGTATAGGAATTAAGCTTTTATTTCCTTTTCCTTTGCTATCCAGCCCCTGTGGGTCCCCCGTGGTTCTACCAGACAAGGTCCCTTGGAAATGTGCCTTTACAAAGTGCTCCTTGCCCCAGTTCAATTCTCTTCGCTTCTTTGTAGCTGGTTTTGAGCTGCACAGATGGTTCGTCTGGGAGCAGACACAGGCTTCTTCAAAGAGATAATATTGATTCCCTCTGGACCCACAATGACCTCTTTCTTCTCTCTCTCTCTTTAAATCATTTTATTGGGGGCTCAGAAACCCTTATCACAATCCATACATACATCATTTGTGTAAAGCACATTTGTACTTTCATTGCCCTCATCATTCTCAAAACATTTGCTCTCCACTTAAGCCCCTGGCCTCAGCTCCTCATTTCCCCCCCTCCCTCCCTGCTCCCCCTCCCTCACTAACCCTTGATAATTTATAAATTATTTTTTTGTCATATCTTACACTGTCCAACCCACGTTTCTGTTGTCCATCCCCCAGGGAAGAGGCTACATGTAGATCCTTGTAATCGGTTCCCCCTTTCCAAAACACCCTCTCTCCATCTCCTGGTATCGCCACTCTCACCACTGGTCCTGAAGGGATCATCTGTCCTGGATTCCCTGTGTTTCCAGTTCCTATCTGTACCAGTGTACATCCTCTGGTCTAGCCAGACTTGTAAGGTAGAATTGGGATCATGATAGTGGGGGGGTGGGGGTGGAGGGTCGAGTATAAGCCGACCCGAATATCAGCCTAGGCACCTAATTTTAACATAAAATTTTAACATAAAAACTGCATTAAAATGTGCCCAAAAAGTCGGCTTATACACGAGTATACACGGTATCCAGTTTTTATTTTGAATGTACAGGCATTTCATTTCCATCAATCTGCTGCCCCCTTGTGTCTGTGACTAGGAAAAGCAAGGCATTAACTAACTCATTAACTAATCATAATTGTTCTTTTAGGGTCCACAGTGGGAACCCCCCCATCCCCACTTTCTGCTGCAGAGAGTCACTGTCTCCGAAACCCACCAGGCCTGCTCTCCCCGTCCTATAGGGTCGCCAGGAGTCAGAATGAACCCAATGGCAGGGGGGTTAGTTTTTTTGATTTAAGTTCGTTAGTCAAGTGGGTTCCCTAACAGTTAAGATGCACAAGAGAAAATGAGTAAAAACTTCATTTAAAGGGCAGGGGGAAGAAACGAGCGGAGCCAGCACAAATGAAACCCTAACAATGACAGCATGCAATACATGCTTCCTAATGACGGCGACTACAACAAGAAGTTAAGATGTCAATCCTGCCGAAGGTGCTTCTTTACAACAGGAGGCGACGGAGAGCACTTTGCACGAGAGCACCTGTTCATGACGGTGATCTAACTCATTACGTTTGGGGAGAAGAAAGTGATTTGACAGCAGATTCCCCTTTCAAAGGAGCTGTTTGTCAATGGACTTTGAAGATCACGATACGCTAAACGTGTACTGAGGAGATAAGTATTTCGGAGGAGTCTGGACCGAGTTAGTTCCTCCTATAATACATGATCCATGAACAGTTGTTAAAACGGTGCGAACGTTTTTAAAGTACATTTTCCTTCAGCTACTCTCATGACATTATTAACGCACGGCTGCAGATGGAAACTATCTGTGTTCCTTAAAGGAGAGGTCCGTGGTTATAAAGTTCCAGCAGAGAGCCTTTGCAGATGCAGCAAGCGCACCACAAACATGGACATGGAGGTAAAGGGTTCATACGGCGCCAGCCAATCAGGGTATTTCCGTCTCAAACAAAAATTCTGCTCGAACGTTTTAAACCAAAGTAGAAGCAATCAAGGTGGAATAAAGGGTGGGCACATTTCCCATCTGAGATACCGCCTCCCACGAAGAGCTTATGTACTGGGTTATTTCCTGCCAAGACATTCCTTTGCTTTACCTTTTGATCCTGTCTTAGAGGAAAACACAAAGTAAACAGAGAAACAGAATCGGAGAGATCAAATGACGCAGGGAAGGATAGAAATGAGAGGCAGTGTCACTAACAGGACATTTCTCTAGCGACATAGAAAATAAGGAGACGGGTGGGAACCATTAAGTCTGTGAGGCTGGACAAGAGGAATAAGAAAATATCATCTGTCACACGGAAGGGTCTGATGACGCAGGGCATCCTCTTCCTTCAAGTTCTCTGAGTTCAGTAAGAGTAAAGTTCTGCAGAACTAGGTGGATTGTTGTACAGCTAGGAATGCACCCATTCACTTAATAGTCATCAAGCAGTGTTTATGGACTGCCACCTATGTGGTGGGCACAGTTCTGGGTACTGGGCTACTGCACTGAACAAACTAGTGTTCCTGCTTTCCCTCAACTGAAGAGAACCAGATAACAACACGTGAACGGAGATACTTATAAGATGGTATTTACAGCTGTGAAGCAGGGAGAAAACTGCAGACAAAAATTTTAAATTGAGTCTTCAAATAATGAAAGCCATGTATAATAGTTGTCAATTTCTGTGGTGTAAATACTTCCACTAGGACCAATTTCAAAATACCCATATACTTCAATAAATATAGAACTGAGGATCAAAAATAATAAAAATTTATAAATTATCAAGGGTTCATGAGAAAGGAAGGGTGGGGGTCGGAGGGGAAAAATGAGGAGTTGATACCAAGGGCTCAAGTAGAAAGAAAATGTTTTGAAAATGATGATGGCAACAAATGTACAAATGTGCTTGACACAATGGCTGTACGTATGGATTGTGATAAGAGCTGTAAGTGCCCCCAATACAATGACTTAGAAAAAAGAAAGAAATAATTGGGACTTGATGTACAAAATTGGTTCCCATGAATTAATAGAATATGACCCCAGCATACTACTTGGTATAAGAAATAAGCCTAACCCTCTGCTATTGGGTCGATGTGAGCCCTGCCTACACGTTCACAGGGCTTCTGCCCAAAGGCTAGTGCCACCCATTTATGCTTATAGAGACCGTCAAGAAAGACTTCCAAGATGAAAGACAAAGTCAAAACAAAGAAATAAAAGGAAAGCTGAGGAAACAGGTGAGACCAAAACTAAACCTATCACTTGAATATTCTTGGAGAGGTTATGAGAGACATTACAGCTATTAAACAAGAAGAGATTATTTTAAGGGGCTATCAGAGAATCGGGGGTGGGGAGTTCTTCAACATGAAAAAGACGGGAGATAAACGTCAAGGAAATCTTGCAGAAAAAGAACACATAGATAATGAAATACATGATAGGAGAGAAAAGATAGGACAACCCAAGAATAACAACCATAATATCTGATATTGAATTAATAGTTTTATCAAAAGCAAACCAAATAACAATAACAAAATTCGAGGGGAATAAATTACCAAACAAATTATACCATCAGTTAAATCTCATAGCATACTCAATGAAAAAAAAAAAAACCCTGAAAGGACACATCAGTCAGAAATATCAAATTACCAAGAAAATATCATATATGATCTCAGCAGGCAAAAGGCTAAGGTGTCTCCACAAACTTCACACACACAGCAAACAGCTGTGTCATCCTGTGGGGGCAATAACCTCCACTGGCTTGTTAGTATAAGCACTGCTTATGAAATGGATGAGGAAACTGTACAGTCTCTACCAGAATTGCTGGGAAAGACGGAGCAGAATAGAGGCAGGGACAGGATGTGCTTGCATTGTTTTCATAATGTTTTGCAGGTAAGGTGCTTTATTAAAAAAAAAATTGCTGGTTTAGTAAAAACAGTAGTATTAGCATGTAGTTTGCATGTTTCAAATTTTATTCATATATATGACTATATGCATATATATTCAAATAGTGCCAAGTGTTTTTTTCTTTTAAAACCCAAATGGCAGTACTCATGACAACCCCCCCCCCACCCGTAATCATCACACATTCCTTTCAGCTATGTACAGCTTTCCCTATGGTCCAATAAGGATTCACTCTTTCCAGTTTGCAGCCTGTATCAGCCAAGTCCTATCCTTGGACAATGTAATCGCCCATGAGTCTTCAAGAACACACTGAAGGACTAGGGAAAGAGAGATAGCACCTGGAACTTAAAGAAACTTGATCTTTTCCCAATAAGCAATCATTTGAATTATTTAAAAAACCATGGCTTTTGGACACGAATGTGGCTCTAAGTCATGAGCCCTGTTAGTCTGGTGGCTATCTGTATGTATGTTGTTGTTTCATCTATTTTATTTTTATGTTGTTTTTGTTTCTTGGTGTTCATCTATACAAGAAAAGCAGGGGAGCTTTTTTAGTAAGAGCGCTAAAATGGACTGCGAGGAGGGTGTAGCTTTTCTGGGTGTGTTTGATCAGTTGAATTGTATGAGAGGAATTACTGAGAGATGAACAACAGGCAAGCATAATAGTGGGGTAGGAGACTAAAACAAAACTCAATATATGTATATATGTATATGTGTGCAAATATGTATAAATAGCCATATATGGATATGTGTATGCTTTGCTTATGTATGTATATATATGTGAATGCAATAAGGAAGCAGATGAACTTTGGGTCTCTACTTAAATCTTACCTCTGTGCTCTAATAATGATTGCTGGAGACAAAATGGTGCCTAAGCAAATGTGGAAAAAAGCTGATGGTGCCCAGCTATCCAAAGCTATAGCATCCGGGCTCTTAAAGGCTTGGACTTAAACAATTGGCCATCTAGCAGGTAAACAACAAAGCCCACTTGGAAGAAGCACACCACGCTGTGTGATAATGAGGTGTCGACAGGTAGAGTTATCAGAAGTTAAAAAAAACACATTCATATTGAAATGAAGAGGAGTAGATGTAGTGGAGACCCAAAGTCCACCAGCAAGACAACTGGACAGTCCCTCTTAGAAGGACCTCAAGGAATGCAGGATAAAGCCAGTTGCGGCGTGGCACTGATGAACCACAAAACTACCCTCTAGTTCTTTACAACTTCCTCCCCTTCCTAATAGGGTCCATACATGATATACCTCATTGGTCATGTGAGACTTGTGTATGGTGATTTGTGCATTTAAGAGTGCTCAGTACATGGTGGTCAAGATAGATGACCCCTTAGAGATACTGACAGGAATAGGGGTTCCCTGACATGAGAAGTGGGGTGGGGGGCGGAAGAAGGGTGGGACAGCGGAGTTGATAACACTGATGACTGCAGAGCCCCACCTGGGTCTGAGCAACAGAACTGTATGGGAAGGGAAGGATATATTGAAATGAATAAGATATGTCAATAAAATATTATTTGGGGGATAAAAAGAAACGGAGGGACAAAAGAAAGAGAGAACTTAAAGAAACTTGATCTTTTTATCTTTCTTTTCCCAACAAGCAATCAATTGAGTTATAAAAAAATATATAAAATAAAATCAAGCAATACGTGTTCCTGAAATAATACAGAAAGTACAAAACACACACTTGCAACTTGGTGAAATATGCATTCTCTCTATAGGTTTCATCAATCCAAACAGATTTGAAGGCAATTCTAATTGCTAAATTCCAGCCATATAATTTCCAATGTGGTTTAAACATAACAAGTAGACAAGTACAAAGCTAAACACAGTATGGTGCCCAAAGCCTGGGCTGAAATTACCTTGGTTTTTGAGAGGATGGGGGCAGCTCGATCCAGCAACATCTCCACCACCTGCTCATGGCCGCTCCGGGCTCCGCAGTGTAACGGCGTCAGACCGTCCTGTTGAACAAAAGCAACCTTTGGTTAGATTTCCCAGTAAATCTAGAATTGCAGACTTTTTCTTTAAAAATCTGCACCAACATCCTGATGAGCAACGCGCTTCAAATGTTTGTCTATATGAGGAGGCTTCAAAAAGTTTCTGGTAAAATTCAACTTTCCATAAGCTTTTTAAAGCCCTCTTGTATATCTTGTAAATTCATATTTTAAAGTTGAAAATTCAAATTTTCATACATCTAAATAGTTTCAAAGTGTTCTGATTTCCCACACATCAGAATACTGACCTTTTAAAATATCAGGGTTCCATTACCCTTCTGAATATAGCCATTGAAACACTACAGTAATTTCATATTCACCATTTAAAAGAATGCATGAATAAAATTTTAAAATAGGGATCTGTAATAAATCTTTACATTGTTCATTTTTCTTCCTATATTTCTATTTCTATCTATTTCTTTGACATCATTTTATGGACATGAAACTTTATATTCTTATTGATTACATGCCATATTTATTCACCACATAATTATATAAACTTAAAAGTTTCCTGAGTATACAAGAGTCTAAGTCTCAAAAATAAATTTTCTGCTCAGAGTTATCACTATAATTATCTGAACATGATTGAACAAAATAGAGAAACTAGGTTTTATATATATATATATATATATATATATATATATATATATATTTATTATTAAACAAGGGCAAACTTTATTTAAAAAATAATCTCTTATTGAGTTGGTCCACCCCCACCCCCACCCCCCTGTTCCCATTATGGTACAAGCATGACACCAGGTTCAGCATCGATGCTATTCTTAATTATTTCTGTTTTCATAAATGCAAATGCTGAGAAATCTTATTCACACTGTTGTTAATTGCAGTGTTATGAGTTCCCTGCATGGCAACAATCCCAATTCTTTCCATCAGAAGACAACTTGGTCATGTCCCGATTTTTCACTGAAAGCAATGGACTTACGACTCAAAACACACAGAACAGCCCACCACCATCAAGTCGAATCTACAGGATTTCTAAAACTATCAGTCTTTATGAGAGCCCATTGCCTCATCTTCCTCCTTCAGAAAGGGTGTCCGGTTTGAACCACTGACTTTGCTGTTAACAGGCCAACGCTTAACGTAATAACAATGTTGACGCTCCTTGGAGTTAAAGCCATTTATGGCAAAAGAATTGCTTTCAATCACTTGAGTCTTGCAGTTTTATCACAAGCATTAATATCTAAAACTCCCCGTAGATCAGCGGTTCTCAACCTGTGGGTTGTGACCCCTTTGGGGATCAAATGACCCTTTCACAGGGGTTGCTTAAGACCATTGGAAAACACATATTTCCGATGGTCTTAGGAACCGAGACACCGCTCCTCTATCTGTCTCCAAGCAGGTCCTCCCCATGCAGATAAGCCCACATAAGAGTACCCAGCGTGAAGACTGTTACCCGTGCTACACCATGCTTCAAGAAACATTTCATTTATTTGTCATTAGAAATAAATATTTCACTTATATAATTACATATTGCTTTGGTGATTAATCATTATGCTTTAATGATGTTCAATTTGTAACAATGAAAATACATCCTGCATATCAGATATTTACATTACGAGTCATAACAGTAGCAAACTTACAGTTAGTTATGAAGTAGCAATGAAAGTAATGTTAGGGTTGGGGCGTCACCACAACATGAGGAGCTGTATTACAGGGTCAGGGCATGAGGAAGGTGGGAACCACTGCTGGAGAAGGAGGTGGGGGAGGGTGGGGAGGACTGCTGTCAAAGGTAAAGGTAAACGCAGTTTCCTCTGGACTCGCTGATGCCTAACTTCTGAATCCCTGTGCTGGCGAAGACGCTGAAAGCACCGGGGTCTGCCAAAGGAACCAACAAATCTGTCTTGGACGAAGCACAGCTAGATTGCTCCTTCGAGGCCAGGATGGCGAGACGCATCTCTTGTATTTGGGCATGTTGTCAGGAGAGACCAGTCCCTGGACAAGGAGAGCATGCTTGGTCATGCACCAGGGCAGCACAAAAGAGGAAGGGCCTCAATGAGATGGATTAACACAGCGGCTGCAATAATGGGCTCCCCAGTGGAAAACCTGTGAGGACGGCACAGGACTGGGTCAACAGGAATGAGAACAGACCAAGTTTGAACCATCAGAGCGGCCTCAAAGGCTTTGGACAACCTGCTCATGATTTCCAACCCGGGGAATGGCTGCCTGCCTTCCTGGGACACACAGCATGTTCTACAGCTAGGGTAGCAATTCCTTGGACTGTCTTCATGATCGTCAGGGAGAGACTGTCCTCACCAACTGGCGGCATTTATGACTATATTTTATTCGAACATCCTTTATACTATTTATAAATAAGCTTGATGAAGGCTTTAACATTTTTTTTTTAAACCATTTTCCCAGGGGTACCTTCTTTATTTATAAACCTTTAACTTCTTTCTTCCCATGGAGCCCCTGACTATTTTTGGTTTATATCACACTGCGGCCTATGAGTTGCTTGGTCCAACTCAAAAACATTTACTACAAATGAAAAATTAGTCTTCATCTCTAATAGTTTCTCTGACAAAAGGTATGTGGTGAAGAAAATCTGTAACTCTCAGACAGGAAGTGGGAATTTATTCACTTGAACTGTGTATGAGGTCTCTGAACTTTGAACCAAGTTCCACAATTGGAAGGTTGCTGTGTTGGACACGAAGGAGCCCTGGTAGCATAGTGGGCTCCTGGTTGGGCAGTTTGAACCTGCCAGTAGAGCCCATGGTATGAAGATGAAACTGTCAGTTCCCATAAAGAGATACGGTTATGGGAACCCAAATGGGCAGTTCTAGCCTGTTCCACATTGCCAGGACTTTCAGAACTGACTCCATAGCAATGTGGTTTCGTGTGTGTGTTTGACACTTAATGTCTACGCTTAGGATGATTATGTTTAAAATATATTAAACTTTGATCTAGTGCATTCAAATGACTGTCTAGATTATGTAAGCAGATCCTCAAATTCAGCAAAATTATCTTCTAACACATGGGTGCATAAGCAAATGTGGCGAAGAAAGCTGATTGTGCCTGGCTATCAAAAAGTATAGCGTCTGGGATCTTAAAAGCTTGAAGGTAAACAAGCGGCCATCTAGCTCAGAAGCAACAAAGCCCACATGGAAGAACATATCAGCCTGTGTGATCACGAGGTGTCTAACAGATCACTGAAGATAAATGGGTGCATAAGCAAATGTGGCGAAGAAAGCTGATGGTGCCCGGCTATCAAAAAGTATTGCATCTGGGGTCTTAAAGGCTTGAAGGTAATCAAGTGGCCATCAAGCTCAGAAGCAACAAAGCCCACATGGAAGCACACCAGCCTATGCAACCATGAGGTGTCGAAGGGATCAGGTATAAGGCATCATCAGAACAAAAAATCTTATCATAGTGAATGAGGGGAGGAGTGCGAGTGGGGGCCCAAAGCCCATTCTTAGGCCACTGGAGATCCCCTTGCAGAGGGGTCTTGGGGAGGAGAAGAGCCAGTCAGGGTGCGATGTAACAACAATGAAAAATACAACTTTCCTCTAGTTCCTAAATGTTTCCTCCCCGCTCCCACTACCATGACTCAAATTCAACTTTGCAAGTCTGGCTAGACCAGAGGATGTACACTGGTACAGAGATAGGAACTGAAAATCCAAGGAATCCAGGGCGGATGAGCCCTACAGGACCAGTGGTGTGAGTGGCAAAACAGGGAGGGTAGAGGGAGTATGGGTAGAAAAGAGGGAACCAATTACAAGGAACTATATGTGACCTCCTCCCTGGGGGATGGACAGCAGAAAGGTGGGTGAAGGGAGACGTTGGACAGGGCAAGATATGACAAAATATTAATTTATAAATTATCAAGGGCTCATGAGGGAGGGGGGAGTGGGGAGGGAGGGGAAAATGAGGACTTAATGCTGGGGGCTTAAGTGGAGAGGAAATGTTTTGAGAATGATGAGGGTAATGAATGTGCTTTACACAATTGATGTGTGTATGGATTATGATAAGAGTTGTATGAGCCGCTAATAAAGCGATTAAAAAAATTCTCTTCTAACACATAAGGTAAACTCCTAGCCAAATTAATTTCAAACCTCTTTAAAAAATGAACTTCAGTTGTGAACATTAAGCAAGCTGATTTCAATAGTCTTTGAGAGTGTTTAAATAGGCTGTCTTGTACATTCTTTAAAAACATTTGATTCCATAAAAAAGCAGTAATAGCCTTTCAAATAGAAACAAAATTTTGCTAAAATAAAATAAATCTAAGAATCAAAAAAACCCCATAACATTTAAATGTCTTCTCAATAAAAAAAACAGAAAAAACTGAAAGAGAAATAACACAATAACCACATTCAACATTCGAACACACACACACAAATGGCACACAGACTTTGAAACAATGTGACTGTCTTTAATGAACTAAATTTAATGAATCAAAAATTTTGCTTCCATTTCTGAACAATATACTGAGTAAGAGAGGAATATACTCACATTGAAAAATAACTATCCCCCAGCCTAACTTTACTCTTGAGTTCAATCTTCCCACAAACAAATTGCTATTCATAGTTTAAAGCATTTCATGTTCAACAAATTATTTTGGCTTTGAACTGGGTTTGGCATATTATTCACTTCCCTACTTTTAAAATAAAAATGATAACAAGGAAAGAAATTCTAATTGACGCAAAAGCACTTGGTTTGGCTTCAGAAGAGAAAAATCAATCTCAACCAAAAACACTTGAATTCTTCAAAGTACAGTGTTCTTACACGCATTTTTTTTATTGTATCTTTAAATTTTTTTCATTATGGAACAATTCAAGTATATTTCAGATTAAAGTAGTTTGGAAAGTTTAATGCACTCTTATGCATTATACACTCAGCTTCAACAACTGTCTCTTGGTCAATCTTGATTTATCTATACCCTGACCTCTTCCCTTTTTTAATTATTTAAATTCAAATTAAAGACATGCATATCAGCTCATCTTTACAATTACCCC